TATAATACAAGTAAGGTTTAGAGTTATTTTCAATGCATAGTATTTTAATAGCTTAATAGGGTCCAAAAGAGAAATAAATGGATGACCTTTTGACGATTTGAGGGTCTATGTCCATACTATTCATCATTCAAAAAACTCTCAACTACGACTTAGTCATTTATAAGTTTCTCATATGCAACACGGTGCAAGCTATACATTCGAGGTAATGATTCATGTATATTGAATTTTTATCAAAATAATGCATGTATGATATATGTGAATCCCTTAATTTGGGATCGATCCGAAAGAAGCTTTATTAATGACAAGCCCAAAAATAGGTTGTCATAATATCAAATTATCAACATAAAAACTTAAAAAGCCAAATGGAAAATAAAACAAAGTCATCAACAAATTATACTAGGTTGTTGTCAATTTCTCATAATTACACTACACTTTTTGCCTATTTGTATGCTTCATAATTGCTTCCCTTAATTGATGTTTTTTTTTACACATTCCCTTAATTGATGTTGAAGGAGACATTATTTAGATACTAAAACAAATTTACTCATTTATTACTTCTATAAACATGTACGGATTATGTGAGAGATATAGTCGAATGGGCCATGGCCCAGGATTGCTCAATTGTTCCCACTGCCTACAGGTCTAGTCCATCTTATTTCAGATTTTTGCATAGTTAGTGCCGTTTAGACTTTAGAGTTAAACAATGTTGGAATAGATCAAGTTAATACACTTTATATCTAATAAAAATGCACTATCCTTCATCCTTTCAAAAAAATATAAACATTCACCCTGAGATGTATCCCTAGGACCTCATCAAGACTTTTTGCTTCCGGGCCCCGTGACCTTCGAAATTCTTCAAAAACGTGAATAAAATTTTGGAATTTTTTTACCTTTTTTTCGTCCAGACATAGAAATTACCGAGATGTTTAGCATGGTCTTAAAATACCCTCCAAGAGTCCAATTAGGTGTGTAGAACCATCCAATTTGCCTTAAAACGGTCAATTTACCAGTTCACAACTTGCACCAATTTCGTGAACTCAAGCCTACCACGGACATTTATGACAACATATAATGGTCATATATGGTTACAAACGACATTATATTATCCTGAGATGTATCCCTTAGGGCCTCAAGTCTTTTCGCCACGGGGCCCGTAACCTCCGAAATTTCTCAAAAAACCTTCAAATTTGGAATTTTATGACCTTTTTTCGTCCGGAAATAACAATGGCCGAGAAGTTTACCATGGTCCTTAATATCCTTCCGGAGTACAATTAGATGGGTGGAACCATCCAATTTGCCTTAAAACGGTCAATTTATCCGTTCAAAACTTTTACGGATTTCGCGAGCTTAAACCTACCACGGACATTTATGACAACATAATATAATGGTCATGTACGGTTCAAAACGACATTATATGACCTCGAGATATATCCCCTAGGGCCTCAAGACTTTTCTCCACCGGGCTCCGTGACCTCCGAAATTCCTCAAAAAACATGGATAATAGCCTTCAATTTTGGAATTTTTTGACCATTTTTCGCACGAAAATAAATTTTTTTGAGATGTTTAGCATGGTCTATATGGTTCCAAATGACATTATATGACCCTAAGATGTATCCCCTACGGCCCCAAGACTTGTTTCTACCGGGCCCCGTGACCTCCAAAATTCATCAAAAGCGTGAATAATAGCTTTTAATTTTGGAATTTTTTGACCTTTTTTCGCCCGGAAATAAAAATTGTCGAGATGTTTAGCATGGTCCCAAATACCCTCCAGGAGTCCAATTAGGTGGGTGGAACCATCCAATTTTCCTTAAAACGGTCAATTTACCAGTTCATAACTTGCACCGATTTCGTAAGCTCAAGCCTACCACTGACATTTATGACAACATATAATGGTCATATATGGTTACAAACGGTTTTATATGATACTGAGATGTATCCCCTAGGTCCTGAAGTCTTTTCGCCACCGGGCCCCGTAACCTCCGAAATTCCTCAAAAAGCGTGGATAATAGCCTTTAATTTTGGAATTTATTTACCTTTTTTCTCCCGAAAATAAAAATTGTCGAGAAGCTTACCATGTTCCCTAATACCCTTTAGGAGTACAATTAGGTGGGTGGAACCATCCAATTTGCCTTAAAACGGTCAATTTACCCGTTCACAACTTGCAGCGATTTCGTGAACTCAAGCCTTCCACGGACATTTATGACAACATATAATGGTTCCAAACAACATTATATGACCCTGAGATGTATCCCCTACGGCCTCAAGACTTTTCGCGCACCGGGTCCTGTGACCTCCGAAATTTCTTAAAAGTGTGGTAATAGTCTTCAATTTTGGAATTTTTTTGACCTTTTTTTCGCCTGGAAATAAAAATTGTCGGGATGTTTACCATGGTCCCTAATAACCTCCAGGAGTCCAATTAGATGGGTGGAACCATCCAATTTGCCTTAAAACAGTTAATTTACTCGTTCACAACTTGCACCGATTTCGTCAACTTAAGCCTATCACGGACATTTATGACAACATATAATGGTTTTATATGGTTTCAAACGACATTATATGATCTTGAGATGTATTCCCTAGGGCCTCAAAACTTTTCTCCACCGGCCCGGTAACATCCAAAAATCATCAAAATGCGTGGATACTACAGAGTACTTAATTTGTTAGCTTAGAATCTTTGAGTGGTTTAATTTATTAAGAGTCAGCGGGCTATTTGACTGACATATTTTGTATCACACAGTCACACACTTTTAAGTTACAAATAAACTAAACCCAAAAGAGAAGGTAAAAATGTCTAGAACTTCCCTAACTATACCTACTCATTTGTTAATGCCTTAAAAAAAATCTCAAAGTTACTCGAACATAAAAATGTTAATTAATCTATAATTTGATATCGTTTCATACAAGATTATTGCGTAAACTAAAATTTCAGTCTTCTATTTTTAATTTTCCCTCCTTTGAAAATTCAAAAGATTCGTTCTCTAATGGTCACATCTTTTTGACATGGAATCCTGGGGTAGGTAAATTTATTTAGAAAAATCAACTTCCTTTTTTAGCAACTACTAGTGATTTTGCTGATCAAATTATAAGATCAATATGAGCTGATCATATCCAAAAAAAAAAAAAAAAACTGTATTTTGGTCTTTGAGAGAATCTCATGTATACTATAAGTTCAAACTTTTACAACCTACTTTCATCTTACTCTTGCTAGATAATAGATACTATTAACATATGTATCTCTAGTCACTCTAGCTAGCTAAGTAACTCTTTCCATCTTAATTGATTACTTAATCATAAATTCATAGATATAACTCTCAATATATAAACTATATATTTGGGTTATTCCAAAAAAAATTAAAAATTGATCTTAGTTTCACTCAAGCCAAAATCAGTTTTTCTCTATTCGTTTGTACCAGTAACATAATTTTTACATAGAAATTATACTTGTCGTTCCTGTATTGATCCAATTTTATAGGATATCTCAAAAGAGACCAGAACATAAGCATTAAACAAGTTAGTCATTACATATGTAGTACAAAAGAAAACAAACTTTTCAACTCTTGAAGACGGCCCTTTTGTGTAAGATTGATCCTCCTCTTAATCTAGCCTTAAACACAATCCTATGAGCGAAAGCATAGATTATGAGCAGAGGAGAAGTGCTTAGAAACAGCCACCAATTGAAGTCGGCCTTGATCAGTGGTGTTAAATGTCGTCGTCGTGGTGGTGGTAACCGTAGGTACCGGTCGTCTAACTTCTCCTAGAGAAGATGCACCAAAACATGCATATAATGATTTGAGTAAAAACACCAAGTACCAACTACTACTTATGACCTTCAACATGTCAATAGTTTTTAAGAAAGAGCACAACAAGATTGATTTTGAGCAATACGTTGCTAGTTCTCACATTTAAATAGAGAGAAGCTAGCTTGGGGAATACGAATAAGTTGGACCCATGCATGAGTTTGAATTTTGACTAGTAATCTAATGTACAGCGTTTGAGCAAAATAAATCATCCAATGACATAATTTATAGTCATATTGAATTATTGATTGACATATTCAATTAATGTTTTCGAGATTTTTCTTTTCTTTTTTTTTTTCTCTGGTTTGGAGGGCCAAGCCACATCATATTTTATACTCAAGAAATATCATTGGATGTGACTATGCGAGGTAATGTATTGAAACTTTGGTAATTGGTAGTGCTCTATCACTTGCAAGGAGTAGGAATGCTTTTGTTGAATGACAAATACTATGAATTTGCCCTTTACAATTGTCTTACTTACATAATTACATACATGTGTATTCACAGTATATCATATGGGAATTTAGTAAGAATCTTGGGTGACACATGTCCCGCCATTTTAAAACATCCCTGCGTTGAAAACAAAAAATAAAAGATATACATAGTAATAAGTATTTACTCTGTTGAATTGGCAATTAACAATGTCCCACCAATTTAATAATCCTAGACCCGCCTCTAATACGCATGTCAATTCTTATGTGCTTAGTGTACATTGGACATGTATTACTTTAAAAGTCACACACATAGTGACATAGTGCTAACATGTTTCATTTTCATTCACACGTCATAAAATCCTTTAGATACATCCAAGTATATATAGAATAATAGAATCCACACACTATATCAATTTCACTTAACATAAACTTTGTAGTAAAATTAATTTTATAGCCAACCACAACATAGTGACAGTGTAGTTAGATTGTTAGAATTACTCGGGGTTTGTTCTCCTCCACAACTTTCTTAAAAGTATCACAAGCATAATGCAACTTTTTTAACAATGATACATCAATAAAGTACAGGATTAATGTGATAACATACTGTTCTTTTCCTTTTACTTAACATAATTTGCTCTGTTTTAATATAAGAAAATAAGAGAGATACAAAGTTACAACCTACAAAGTATAGAGATAATAGTGAGGCAAAAATTTCTAATACTACAACATCTAGCATAATGTTAGAAAGACTTCTGTCTAAGTTACTGACGAATCAATAATTTCTAACAAAAATTATATGTATACCATCTAATTCATAATATTATTCAAAACCTGAAAGTGTTCCTTCTAATCATACACAATAATTTAAATAAAGCTACCAATCTAGAGGTTACTACAGCACAAAATTCGTCGGTGAATGGATTTACAATAAAATTTCACCCATGTATTTCTAATCTATTTGAGGCGCAGCCAAATGCTTCTTACTGGACCTAAATAAGTTGAAGCAATCAGCCAAAGAATCGGAAAGTGCCACTTGAAAGCAGCAGCGCGAAGAATTTTCAACCCCTCCGATTTTTTTCTATGTACATGATCTTAAAGATAAGCTATTTGTCATCTTTCACTAGCTTCAAGCTCTTCTTGGTCCTCTAAGTGTGTCTCCTCCCGACTAGCATTAACTCCATTACTCGCCCCTTGATTTTCCGAACCATGTCCAAAGAAAAATGAGGAAATAAAGCCATCATCCACATAAACTTCATCATCACTTTCCTTCTCTTTTAGCCTCGAGTTAACATTAACACCCATCCAAGAAGGGCAACTATGCTGAACCTTAAAAGCATCTTGAGGGTTGAAACCGGAAGAAGGACTAGTTTTTCCCCTCGAGCAAGAACACTCAGGAACAGGATGCGAGAGAAAGGAGATTGGCTTTGAAGTGTTGAATGCTTCCAGGGGACCATCAAGCAATGTTCTTCTTAAATGCTTGCGAATCGATGAAAGCCATGTTCGGTTAGCTGGGTGCATGCCCTCACGGAGATCATCTACGAATTTGGCTACTTCTTTTCTGCAGCAATCAAGTAGAGAGAAAATCAGATTCAGTTATAGACTTAGCTGTTCCTCTTTGGCACTTTTATTAACAATGTTTACCTCCCAAGTACCAATATAAACCGCCCTCATTTGCAACGAAAAAGTACCGACTTTTTCATTTTTATACAAAACTTCTATTTAAATAAGAAAGTGCAAGTTTATTGCAAAACACCGGCAAGAAACTCAAACATGACAGATTTAAATTTCAAAGCACAGAAAAGAGAAAAGACTACCTGTCAGGCCTATATGTCACAGAAGCAGCAGACTGATACATCCGATGCCCCATAACCAAGCTAGCAAAATTCGGGCGTCCCTTACCATCACGATCAAATCCCGGAATAAAAACATCAGCTTCAACACAAACAATATAATCAATGGCTTCCCAAAGCAATTTATGTGCATTAGTTCTAAGCTCCATCACAGTACTCTCAGGCTCATTATCACTCTCCGCTACCCAACCCCACCACCCTTCAATATTGTACGGATACTTAGACCGTGCAGGAGGAGGTGGTAATGGACGGGGTCGTGGGACCGACTTTTTCCATGCTTCAAGCTTCCTTTCTTCTACAACTGAGGGGGGCGCTCTTGGTGGAGGGTCAACAAAGTTTGCCTCACGGCCGTATAGCCTAGTCAGCTCATAATTTGTGCTGAGGGAAGTCCTATCTGCTACATTATCAAACATGGCATGCAGAGGAATTAACAATCTCTGACCGCCAAAGACTTCTCCACCAGAAATGTATATCACTGAGTCTGACCGATATCCATATGCACGGAGAATGATGCCAATCTGAATAAACACAAGGTTCAAAATCTTCTAATGCTAAAAAAAGAGTTGAAAATGATAGAATTACGATATTAAAACACTTACAAGGAAAAATAGATCATTTTGTTCTGTATTTCTGAGTAAAATTAAATTACTTTTTTAATAATCAAACATGGATAGTTTCATTGAGATACCAGACTTGGGCTATGTAATCGTGTATTTCAACTTGTACATTTTTTAAAATTGCAGTTGCACAATCATGATGAAAGAGCGGCAAGTATAACTAAGATATACACTTTATCATGGTACTCAAGAAAAGTGGACCTCACATGATTAACACTTACAATGGGGTTAAAAGGTTGTTAAAAGCATAATTAAGTGGACCATGTGCTTTATATAAAGGTAATAGTACAATTTTTACCATAAAAACCTTTCTTTTGTAGTGTGTTGTAGCTATTGTGACACTATGTGACATTTTCATTTTAAGGTAAGTGTTGCAACTACAAAGAAACGGAGGAAGTACTTGAGTAATTTTGGATAACAAAATATGTTGACAGATTTCTAACCTCTTCCGGCATGAGGGGGCAAGAACCATTGAGCCTTTGTTGAGCTGAATCCACAGAAAGCTTTCCTTTCACAATTCCCCGCTTCAACATCCACGACCTTTTGTGTTGAATAAGCTCGGTATGCACATCCTTCAGAAGTTTAAGACAACCTTGACATAAATCAACTTGCTTCTTCGCTGATCTACTATTAAGCATTGACCAAGTTTTTGAGAGTCATTACCTGGAAAAGCTCTGCACAGCCATAGTATGCCAAAGCCTCTCTGGTCATCCCTGGTTCATATGCAATGAACGGCCTACCAGGTGACCGTAACCTAGAAGGAGAGTTAAATATAAGCTACGTTTCACATTTATTAAAAAAAGGGAGGGTATTAGCTAGAGAACTTGAACCTTCTTAATATCTTGGTGGCAAGCTCTTGGACCTCATGCCGAAATTGTAGGGCATGAAATGCAACCCTGCATCTCAACCTCTGAAGTTCTTCAAGATCAGGAAGAAGGTTTGACTGCACCAGATACAACGAGACGATGTCAAGTGATTTAGAAAATCAAAATGCAGTATTTCGTAAATTGAGATGTGAGATCATCAGCAAAAGAAATGTGCTCCCTTACATACATTCTCACAAATCTTGTGTATTTGAACACAACCATGCATATATTCCAACAGTCATAATACACTTGACAAGAATCCAAACAAATATTTGCATTGCAAGAATTTTAAGAAATACAAGTAAGAAATTGATATAGGAGAGGGGAAAAGGCGATCACCTGCAAGCATCCACCGTCTGAGACAACAAGTTCGACAACTGAGTGCTTCCTCAACGTTGGCAAAACTTGATGCATATAGAAATAAGGAGATGCTGAGCTCGGTACCTTATATAAAGGGATCGCCTTCTTCCTCCTTGCCTCCTTAAGATTCTTAGGAAGAGTCTTAACAATATTGACATCTTTAGCTAATGCTGCCATGAACTGATCTTCATTGTACAAGTAAGCAAAACTTTTAAACTCGGAGCTGCAAATATTAAATCACCCAATCAAGTTAATTGATGAATGTTTTTCAAAAACCATTCTTGGCAAAAAACAAAAAGACATGGGTGTGATTGGAAAGGGCCATCAAGAATATCAATCACCTAATTCCCTTGCTGCTAGTGGTTGAGAGGATTTCAGGGATCACAAGAGTAGCATTGATCAGCCGTGCTATTGCAACAGCATCCGCAATCTACAACCAACGATGAGCCATTATAAAAGATAGAAAGAAAAAAAAAAGGGGGGGGGGGGGCTCGAATAAATATATATCAAATGAAGTGGTGGTCTTACTGCATTCCGGATATCATGGAAACCACCTCGAATCCTGACAAAAAGGAAGCCCGTTGATTGCAAGCTGGGAGCTGTAACAAGTTAGGAAGACAATACAATCTCAAGACAGCATACCAAGTCAAGAACTGTACAACTTGAAAAGAGAAGCAGATGTAGGCAAGCCAAATTCAAATCTAAAATTAAAACTAGGCCTGTTAGCATGTAAATACAACTAAGGGGATGGAATTGAACCAAATATATCTTCATACACTGCATTGTTGTCTTACTTGAACCCTTTATTATCACTTGTTTGAGAATCTTTAGGGAGTATAGACTTATAGCAATATGATACTCGGATAGTGTAGACTTAAAAGTGGCAATGGATTGTTTTGACCGAGATTAGTCTATGTTCAATTCCAGAAATGAGGCATTTATTTCAATCACATCATAAGGAGTATTTGTTTAAAAAAAAAAAAAAAAACAGCATGAAAAAATCATTCAATATTAACTTTGTTAATTTCTACACCGAGTCAAAGTCAGGTTATCTAGTTTCAAATATAGTCCATGTCTAGGTCGGATCAATTTTGCCAAGCCTATACTCAAATGCTTCATAGTAAATCCTTAGATCAACATCCAAACCATTACTTGACCCCCAAGCCCGTAGTACAATAAGAATCGAAGGAGTAAAATTTCGGGTGACAGTTGTAAGTGACCTCTAGCAAACACCCGAGGGGTTAACTTTTCTTACGGAACATGGATGACTTAGACATTTGAAACAAGAAATTACAACCCATCATACGCTCATTTCAAACACATTTTCTACAACCGAACAAGTCATACCCCCTATGATAGCTTAGACATTTTAAACAAGAAATTACAACCCATCATAGATCATACGCTCATTTCAAACACATTTTCTACAACCGAACAAGTCATACCCCCTACGATAGCTTAGACATTTAAAACAAGAAATTACAACCCATCATAGATCATACGCTCATTTCAAACACATTTTCTAAAACCGAATAAGTCATACCCCTACGAAGTCAATCATACACACATTTTTCAATAACAAAACACAAAAGATACTAGTAACAGCAAATTATGTAATTAAAGGAGTCACCTAACTCTTATCTGATTTTCAGAACCAATACTAAATGAAGAACAGACCATACCACACCATAGAATAGTAAGCAAAGAAAAATAAGGCAAAGAAAGAGAAGAATTCACTGACCAGAATAGGGTCCTCGAGGATTTGCATGTGGATACAGAGATCCCAACTCCCTCACTGGGCCCCATAGCCTTTTATGCAGGGGACTCTGCTTTAATACCCAAACAAACAAGGACAATTAACATGAATTTCATTTATGATCATAATATTATTACTTAAGTTCGATAATATCTTGAAGGGTGGTACTCAAGACCTGAGATTGATCGCGGGTACATTACTACCCTTTGTGGGTATTAATCATCGGCCCTACTTTAAGGCCGATGATTATAAATTTATAATGCCCATAAAACCAATCATCTTGAAGAATTAGCTTAGTTTGCTAAAGATTATCTAAAGTATAGGGTCGGTCCATCTAAAGGTACAAAACATGAAAACGAAACTACTTGCAAGTTGAAAACTCAAACTACCAGACACAAAAAGGGGATTACTTTAAGGTTCAATTATTCATCATTACGTTGAAAATTCAATAATTTTTTTCAAAAAATTGGATTAAAGCTAAAAAGCTACTATATTTACTTAATTAACCCTCAAAATCCATCCCTAATCAAAATTAATATAATCAACAATGTAAAACCCTTAATCCCAAATTAGATGGGTCCACTACATGAACCAACATTTTACGACCATCTCTTCCTCCATACTCGAACACGACATTAATCAAACATACATAAACACAAAATGCAAACAATTGAAACAATAATACATCAGTTTCAAGCAATAAAATAGTACGAAAAATCAATAAAATTAAGAGTAAAGAAAGAACATTACATTTCTGGGAAGATCTGAAGTACGAAAAATGGGTTTCCAAGCAAAGATTGAAAAAGAAGAAGATCCACCATAATTATCAAAACCAGAGTGATGTTGTTTAGCAGTATATCTAGCAAGCAATAAAAGAGTGAAGAGAGAGAAAATAGTTAGAGACAGAATCATTACAAAACCACCCCATTTCATTCTTCCTTTCTTTGATTCTCCTGCACCTTTCCAATTGGATACCCATCTCATCTTCATCACCATCTTTACTTGATCCCCCATTTTCTCTCTCTAAATTCCTTCAATTTGCATCAAAAAACCCAGAAATTATAAATTATTACTGTATAATAATACGAAGAATTTAACACTCTGGCTGTCTCTTTGTCTGGTGTCTGATTTTGGGTTTCTGTATTTCAAATTTATATCATATTATAAAATTGGAAAGCAAGAAATTAATAAGTATATAAAATAAAATATTTGTAAAAGAAAAAAGAAGAAAACTTTCATCTTCTCTGTTCCCAATAAATATGGGTTCCTCTGTTTTGTTTGTTTTCTTTAAAAAACCCAGATTTTGTTCTTTCAAATTAAGCAAGAAAGAAAGGCTAAATCTTTGATCGATGATCTCGTTAATTCTCTCTCTAAAATCTACTTGAACAAGTAACAGTAGTACAAACAAAGACAGTAGTAGTACTAGATTAATTTTAAGGTTTTTTTAAAATTAAAAAATGGGGAAAGAAGAAAATTGAAAAAAATAAAGAGTTGGTGAGTTTTGGGTTGGAAGAAAGAGAGAGACGAGTCAAAGGGGTAATCAAGTGAGAAGATTTGCCACGTGAGATGATACGTCTTTAATGTCTCATTGCTAATTTATGGGTGTTCCTTGGGTTAGAGTACTTGGAGAGATTGGTTGTATAAAGAAAATCGGTTTAAGTCGTAATCAGTAAAATTAATCAGTTTGTGTACAAATTAGGGTTTTAAAAGTTGTTCAACTCGAGATCAACTTATAGAATGATCGAATGTGATACGACTATACGAGTATGAGATTTAGGTTGTTCGTTTGAGATTTTTTGTAATTGAATCTTGATTTATTTACGTCGTTAAGGATTTGAACATCCAACCTTTTATAAGAAAGATAGTTACTTAATCATGTAAGTCAATCATAAGCTATGTTATAAACATGAAAATAAGAGAGTGAGGGATAACTCTAGTGGTTAGAGCTTTCCTCCCAATTCAAAGAGATCTTGGGATTGATTCTCACCCCCGCCCTTGTGGCTCTCTAAACACCAAAAAAAACAAAACATGAAAATAAATGTATATAATTGATAATCACAAGGTCTAATTAAGATAGCAAATGGTGTAACACCTGGACTACACACTAGTTATAATATATAAATAGTGTTTTTAAAAAAATAATTAAAAAAAAATAATTTACAATGCTAATTTAATAGTGGGAGACTATAGATACTTCATAATTCATACAAGTAATACAATAATTTTTTTATTGTTTATTTTTAGGATTAGGAGTAATTCAATTACTACGGAGTAATTTGCTTTTATTCCTTATTCTTTTCCCCAACCTTAAGGCCTCACTTGCATAACTAGCAATTACCTAAGTTCAAATCATGTAGTTTTCTTTGTTTTTTTTACTGATGTTATACTGTTACGGTATAATTTGGAAAAATAAGTAAAAAAAAATTACCACAGTTTTGTACTTATACGAATAACTTGTTAGTACTATTCCACGTCAAAAAAAAAAAAAAAGTACTATTCCCTCCCAAAAATAAAACGAAAACTTGTAAGTACAGATGTATAACAAGTTGTAAAGTTCGGTAGATCGGTGGTAAGAGAAAATGAATCTAGGAGAAGAAACTTATACAGAAATACAAGTACAGGATGTCAGTAGTATTTATACTTGGTAATTTAATTCAAGTAAAATGACAAAATAATTAGTAAAGGTGGAGTGGGTGGATTTTTCTGATTAAAAAAAAGGGAAAGTAAATTACACTTTAGCAACACTCTGACATCTAAGGAGGTGAAGTAAAGTAATAAAGCTGGGTTTAAATTATTTCTCCCCCCCCCCCCCGTCAAGATGGTCACAAAATGGTAAAATGGGTTTTAATATTCTACATTGAAAGGTCCTTTGTGTTACCCTATCTTCGGTACCATATTAGTGGATCATCTCAACTAAAAATTTAAACTGATAATTGAGTTCCAAATATATGTTTTATACTCTATTAGTTATTAGTACTAACGGTTATAATCAGTATCAATATAAGTGATATCCATAAAACTGAACCAATGAGTTTATGTATCCGAATTTTAAGTACCCAAATTTTCAGATCGGTTATCGGGTATCCAATAAGATTTTCAACGATGATAACTAAACTTAATAATGTAGTTATAGTATAATATATCATTTAACACTAATTAACATCAATACTACATGATTTTGACCAAATTATTAATAAAGCTACTAATCATTGAAATTATAAAGTGATTATGAAGAGACATATTAGAATAGATTTTGGAAAAATAGATTTAAATAGGATAAATAAACAAAAAATTGCTTATCGAATAGAATTGGATAACTGTTAATTTTAAAATGATACCCAATAATCATACCCGATAACAAATTATCGAAATGGGTACCCGAACCGTTATTGGATCGGGTACCCTAATTTTCAAAATGGTTACGCATTGGGTATTTAGTTTTTTCGGGTAGTTTTGCTCGGCCCTACTCCCCCGGTCTCTAAAATGTTATTCTATTGTTAATACCTTGATTTTGTATTCGCATTGAACCTAAAATAAATCATTCAATCAATTTTTTATCAATAAATACTTCGCAAGGCCGTAATGTTGTAAGTAACACAAATCATGACTTCTTATCTCAAATCTTAAAAGCTCTGGGGTTCAAATCTTGTCAGGTGAGGATACTTGGAGCCTTAGGGAACGGGATCTACTTACCGAGACCAATGAAGTATTATACATAATTACATACGGAGTACTACATATGTGTATACGGGGTATCTACAAGACTACCACCCAAAGATATAGGATGTAGCTAATCTAGCTATAGACTATAGTAGAAATGAGTGGTGTAATAGATTAAGCCAAATGGAGAGAATAGTCCGTAAATGTTGCATTTCAGCATTTGCCATAAATTTGGTGCAGAATATTTGGTTCATAAGTTTGAAAATAATCCACCTACTTTTTCATAGTTTTTCTCCAATTGCATCAACTTAGCTGCAGATTGTAGGTGGAAAGTAATTACTGTACCACACATTTTTATTGGGAACACTATTTTTAGTTTCCCTTTCAGCAAACATGAAATTCAATTTCTACTTTATTTAGCAAAACGTATAGGCTTAAAACTAACACCACTTTATCTTCTATTAGTGCTTCATTATTATGATAGTGCTAATTGCTCTATATTTGTATAATTATGTGGGTTTAAAACTTTAAATGGGGAGTAACGTTTTAAGGTTACATAAGTTTCTCATTGTGCATTTTAGAATTAGAAGAGTATGATCCTCTTAGTGCTTGTAGAGTTGTAGTCACAAAATTAAATCTTGTATGTTTAATCTTGATATGAGACCTTGTTGTATTGAAGATTTGAAGTTAGTGCTTCCATCATGTACCTAACTTAGAGTATGATTGATCAAATCTTGTACGGTCAGCCAATGCATCCATTATGTATAATTGTAAATACTTTAGAACCGTTGCAGAAATTAAATATAACGAACAATAAGTTATTAGACTACTATTCAAAGCCTATGATGTTGTTAAGCCTAGATTGATGAGAAGAAGACGAAAAGAGTAAGAGACTATGTGCTTGTTGCTTGGTTGACGATAGATAGCCTTGAATTTTTGCTGATGTATTCTTTAATTTGAGTCCCTTTAAAGATTAAGAAAGCCGTCACTCATTTAAGCGCCTTGTTATTTGAATAATACTCCGTATAAAACACAATAAATTATCGACCTTTAATTAACATATAAATTACCCATCTTGACTTTCATTGACCTAATTGGCTAATTAGCCATTGAATTGACTTTCATTGACTAGAACTATCCCTTTAAAAGTCAATTCAATGGGCCTATCATGGTTTATTTCATTGGGCCTAGTTTTCCAAAATCAAGGAAAAATGAAGACATGAAATTTACCTTAGGACAATATGGTAAATTAAAGCTTTTATTCTCTCCAGAACTTTCTCAATAGTTGCAATGAAGGGGCAAAATAGGAAAATCAAACCAAACCTTCAATTAGGTCAAGAGCTAGACACAATAAAATTTTATTAAAAAAATATTTTATATAATTTTTTTTTAAAAAATCTTCCAAAATTTTGCAACATTGTAATGCCACGTCACTAAAAACACCTTAAATCACGGAACCACTTCCACGTGGAGCTCTCACAAATGCCACGTAATAAATAATTCTGTTACAAATTACAGTAATCCGAGTTTTTGCAATATTCCCATAAATTACGTACAATAGTAACCTTTAGATTTTCTTTTTGAAAAGGGGCGTTTCGAACTCGCATTTGATTCGCGGGAGAGAGAGAAGAGAGGAGAGAGAGTGGCAAATTTACGAATTAATCGGAAGATCAGCATTGATTTCCTTCAAACCCCTTAAATCTCAACCGTCCGTTGCTGATCTCTCTCCTCTCATTGCGCTAATTTTCCCCGGTTGTCGTGTTTTGTTGCCGGCGGTCAGTTTTCCGGCGGTGAGTTTCTTAAATTTCTGAAATCAAATTTCATTTTTTTTGAAGTTTTTATGGAATTGGGTATTTTGGGTTTCAGAATTTATGTGATATTTTCTTTGATCATGTTTGATTTTATTTTCTTAAGTCCCATTTATTTTGCAATGTTGATCATATGTTCATATTTGATGTTTATGTAAATTTCATTAAGTTGATAATTATTTGATGTAATTTGTAACAAGATTGATTAAAAATTTTATATAGTATGAAAAATGTAGCTGATCTTCCCCTGTTAATACGGTGTGTTTTGGTAGAAATAATTGCATGATCTATATTTCTTTGAAGCTAAAAATCCTTGTTATATACCTTTGGACATTTTATTATACACCCGGGTGCACCTAATGCTTCTAAAAATTGTTTGGATGTACAAAATTTTGTTACATGCACTATTTATACTTTGAAAGGATTGATGTATTATTAATTCATTATTGATTTTAGGCTTTTAGGAGTTTTTGTGATTGTTACACCACTTTCAAGAATATTTGACAACGTCCCTTACACGCACACACATAAAAAGGACATTGTTACGGATAATGGAGTGTATTAAAGAATGCACACCCTTTTTTATATTATTTTGCACCAAGGATTTATATAAAGATTGCACATTTGTAATTGTGGTACACAAAATACGCGATACCCCTTGTTGTGTAATGACATAAAAGTAGGCTTAAATGTCGCCGTATTGGTTTAGGTTATATTCAATTGGTCACGGCTTTTGTTTAATGCCGATGATGTTTGGTAATTTTTTTTTTTTTTTTTTTTTTTATTGGAAACGGATTCAACTTTTAGAGATAAAATAGATTGAATAAATGGGTAAAATTAGAATGTTTACTTTTGTTGTTTGAGTTAGGACATAGAGTATTTATCATCAACTACGTATTTCATATAATTCTCTTGTTGGCTACATCATGTATGGTAGATGTGAATTGGGGATTGAAGTAAATTAGTGGCTTGGAAGGTAAAAATATTATGCTTAGTGGTTCATCGTTTTGTTGGAAGTGAAGGTTTAACAGGGGAAGTGGTTAATGAATTCATCAAGCAAGGATGTTAGAAATTCGTGGCAGAGTGATTAGTCCAACAAAATTCTATACTTTTGTTGTTGGTGAAGAAGAATATAGTCTGGCTCTGGTACTTTGTTTTGTGTTATTCTTGCTTGCATAGCTGGATGTTGTTGGACAGATATTAATATGTATAAAACACACATTACATATATTATGAAATTAGTCGAAAATTGGAGTGACCAAGTTGGTAGTTAAGAGGTCATGCCGTCACCTCAGGAATTGAAGAGACTGGTGGCCTTGCACCAGTATGTCTGTTTGTTTGGAATGTGATATAGAAAGAGACGACTGTTGATGTATGTTTGTTTGAAAAGTATGAATGAAAGCGGTGACCATTGGTGATATTGTTTTCAAATTTGGGACTTTTATAGTTGTATGTTTGGCCATGATTGCGATATGTGTATATGGTTTTAATGTTAGGCTCGTGTCCATATAGCTTCTCTGCATGTCATAGTCAGAACAAATGAGTTCATTGTTTAGGCTTTTACATACATCTTGATTTCCCAAGTTGGATGCTTTTTTATTTTCCCTGGGAACATTCGATTGACTAGAAAATTAAAAATACTCAAGTCTGTCCTCCATGATGGGGTCTAATAAGTACCACAAGTCAATTTGTAAATCCTGTATTAGCCTATGAACCATAACTAGTATAAATGCAATCTTAATCAAATGACTATACTTCCAAATTCTCGTACTGTACCACTAAATGTATTTGAGGACTAGGAAATTTGAAGAGTGGGATTATTTTCCTCTCATTATATTAACATATTTTAGGTGTGGGGATAATTTATGTTGGGTTTTAATTTATTAGAAATTAGTGTGGCGTTCTTGCACAATTTTATATTAAAAAACCTTTTATGTTTATTTATTTACACTTTTTAATGATTTTTTCTAATCTAAAACTATTTCACCAATGCCTGTAAACTATTTCTAATCTAACACTAAAACTATTTCACAATGATTGTTTTCAAATAGGCATTATTTACAGCCCTTATTGTATGTTAAAACTTTATTGAAGTTTATATAATATGTGAGGATTTGTACTTCATAGAATTGGTTCTTTAAATGTATATCAGTATTGCCTCATTATCCTCAGGACCTATTATGAACTAGCTGTCTAGCTTAAGGCGGCTGTTTCCAGATTAATCTAAATTTTGGTTTTTGCTATAAGTTGCAAGCTGTGCACTTATGTTGAGTTTATGAATACAGAGAAATGTCTTATGTTTTCTGATCAGGATATGTATGTGCATTCTTGATATTGTTTGTTTCGTGTCGTTAAGTAACTTAATTGTCCGTTTATTTTTAAATGCTAAAAAAATTATTAATCTGTCTACAAATGTTTGAACTTTGTCATATCCCAGCGTAGTGGTCAGCTTTGCCAATGTAGTTCAGACTCAGTCTTGACACTGAATCAATCATAACTGAGATCCATGGATGCAAGTTGACTCTGGCTATGTTAACTATGATCATTTGGATTCCAATTATCAAATCTACAAAGTCAGTGCCAGCACGGGGGCTTGGTCTGTGCTCCGGAGAACAACTTTCTGCAGTCGCCACAGCAGAAGCTGAAAGGTTCCCATTTCTTTCTTCCTTTCATGTTTCTTAAATTAGTAAGCTTTGTACAGAACTAAATGGCTGCAGCATCAGTGAGAGGGCCTCTGAGGGGGGAATCATGCCTCAACAGTAAGACAATGGAAGGTGATCAGGCAGGAAGAAGACGTGTCTTTGTCCAGACTGAAAGTGGTTGTGTCATGGGAATTGAGTTGGATGGATGTGAAAATGCTCGTACTGTGAAGAAAAAACTGCAGCTTTCTCTCAATGTCCCGACTGAGGAGACGTCATTGACATGTGGGGATACAGTTTTAAAAAATGATCTTAGCACCGTCAGAAACCATTCACCGCTTCTTTTGACTAGAAACTGCTTGCACCGAAGTTCATCTACACCATGTCTTTCTCCTTCTGTTAAGGATCTTTTTCAAAGAGATCAAAGCAGCCCAATAGAAGTCATTGGTTGCTCAAGTAATTTCTTTGGGATAAAGCAACTGGTGAGTGATATTGTGGAGGCCTTGAAGAATGGCATTGATCCTATGCCTGTGCGTAGTGGTCTTGGTGGTGCTTACTTTTTCCGTGATTCTAATGGTGAAAATGCTGCAATCATTAAGCCAACTGATGAAGAGCCTTTTGCTCCAAATAACCCTAAAGGTTTTATCGGAAAAGCTCTTGGTCAACCGGGACTCAAATGTTCAGTTCGGGTGGGGGAAACGGGTTTCAGAGAAGTAGCAGCTTACCTTCTTGACTATGATGGTTTTGCCAATGTGCCTTTAACTGCTCTTGTGAAGGTAACTCATCCAATTTTCAATGTAAACAATGACGGGGTAAATGGGAATGGCCACCAGCAAAGAGGGCATACAACCAAAATTGCTTCATTTCAGCAGTATATTCATCATGACTGTGATGCTAGTGATTATGGGACCTCTAGCTTTCCTGTTTCTGTTGTGCATCGGATAGGAATTCTTGATATTCGCATGCTAAATACAGATAGACATGCTGGAAACCTTCTGGTCAGGAAGCTTGATGATGGGGATGGGCGTTTCAACCAGGTAGATTTGGTTCCTATTGATCATGGCCTTAGCCTCCCAGAAAGTTTGGAAGACCCTTATTTTGAATGGATCCACTGGCCCCAGGCATCAATCCCTTTTTCTGAAGATGAACTTCAGTATATAGAAAATCTTGATCCTTTTTATGATTCCGAGTTGCTCAGGGTGGAGTTACCGATGATTCATGAGGCTTGCCTCCGGGTGTTGATCCTTTGTACAATTTTTCTAAAGGAAGCGGCATCTTTTGGGCTTTGTCTTGCTGAGGTTGGTGAGATGATGAGTAGGGAGTTTAAAGGCCATGCAGAGGAGCCAAGTAAGCTAGAGCTCCTATGCATCGACGCCAGATCACTCTTGCAAAGGAGTGAGATGGGGATAAATACTAGTCCAAAAGATGAGGATGGGTTTCTATTTGATTTGGAATGTGAGTTTTTTAATGGGAATTTAAGCAGAACTTTAGAAGACAAATTATCATTTCAAAAGACTTCTGGGAAAAATGGTATGGATTTTCTTTTTGAAGTTGAAGAGGGCTCTGAAGAAGGGAAGAGGATAGACACAGCTACTGGTACCAAGAACAAAGAAGGCAGAATCGGCGATGTGGGGGACAACACTTGGATACAACAACAAGCAATACAACAAGAAAGATGCTTTAATGGTACACCAATGAACAAAAGTGCAAATGAGCTTTTCTCCTCAAGTTCAAGTTTTGTAAATCTGGTAGATATGAATGAAGACGAATGGCTGGCGTTTCTTGATAACTTCCAGAAGTTCCTGCGCCCGACATTTGTGAATCACAAAGCAGGGAGGGCGGGTCAAAGGCTTATGCCGAGGTTTGGAACTTCATGCAAGTTCTAATAAGCCCTACTTTGCGGAAGTTATGGGTACGAGGTTTAAAAATAAGAATCTAGAGTGAGCTATATAGATCTTAGGTTCTTTTTCAGCTTCGTATATGTCACTGAAAACAGGGCTGTTGTAAATATTTTTGCTTGCTTGCGAGTTCTAGTTGTCAATCCTATGGAAACAACACCTCTAGTGTTTCCTTTCGTAGATCTTCCTCGTGCGGTTGTGCCAAGGGATGACTATGTTCATTACTCCTCTCTGTCCCTCGCAATCTTTAAGGGATGGGTGGGGTATCAAATACAGTGGGATAATGTTGTTTTATACTTGTGTATTTAGTTGCAACTATAGTGTATGCAGTATACTTCGTATTTTTCGCAACGTCCTATACAGTCATACTACATACATACTTGGTAGATCTTTGCTACTGTTTTATGAATATACAATATTTGTATCATCTTGTACGTCTTGAATTCTTAATTGTTTCTCGTTTGAGAACCAAACATGGTGTGATGTAGTATCCTGTGGGCATTCTTTCTGTCCTCGCTCAGAGCTCATGACAATCAAGCACCGTGAGTATAGTTATCGCAGAGGAGTTCGTAAGTCCTACCTGCATTAGTTTCTTATGTTCCATGTATTTACATTCACTACGATGTACATTGTACATAGTACAAACCAAACACAATCTTTCTTCCTGAAATTTGCTGCTTATATGTATTCTATGTCGAACCAATTGAGGGATTGTATTTAGTATTTACAACTGCGCTTTGTGGAAAAAAAAAAACTAGGATGATCTTAATTTTCATTCTGGCTCAAAATTTTACTCAACTCCACTTGTTGGTCTTCAATCATACTTGTTAATCGGTTAAGATCATCCCCAGCAAATGACATTGTTCCAACTTTAGGCAGACGTCTCTGTTTTATCTTTACTATAGCCTGAGAGATTTCTCCGCTACTAGGGCGCTTCCTTGGTGTCTTATGTAAACATCTGAAAGCAATTTTAGCCAAACTCTTCGCTTCTTCCGAGCTGCATTTCCCGATTAGTCGCTTGTCAAGTATCTCATCAACTCCTCCATCTGGGTCCATTGTCGCCTTTACAAGTAAATAAAAGACAATCTCTGTCAAGATTACAAGATTCTAAAATAGAATTTAATTCCTCTAATAAGAAATTCTGTCAAAGAACTAGCAGAATATCAAGTGTTTCAGAGACGTGGAAGGAAAAGACTCACAAGATTGACATAATCCATCAAGTTTTGGTGTGGATGTATGGCAGTTATAAGCTCAAAAAAGATAACCCCTAAGCTGTAGATATCACTCTTTAAACTGGACTTGCTTGTAGAGATATATGCAGGATCCATGTAGCCATATGTACCTTTCAGGCTTGATTTACGTCCATCAAAAACCTCTTCCTTTGAAAGCCCAAAATCAGCGACCTAACAACAAATGCACAATTTGTATCAAGCGAATGAGAGTAATTGTTTCTAGAATTCTTGTACATACTTTGAATAAAGCCTGAAGTCATTTGTTTAATGACTTCAAACAAATTTTGTTAATTATGCTCTGTAAACATAGCCACCACAGCATGCAGTCCAAAATCTCATATGAACATATCTCAGGCATTGGCATTGGCCTGTTGCTTGATGGAAGCATAATCATTTTTCAGGAAACTGCTTATGTTTGTTTTGTAGAGTAAACCCAAATGTTTATTCAATAAGGGATCAATGGAATACAAATCCAATATATAGTGCCAGAGAGTACTTTTTTTCTTAGCTTTTATGCTTACCTTTGCTCTCATAGAGTGATCCAGTAATATATTAGCACTCTTCAAGTCCCGATGTACAACTGGTGGAACTGCCTGTTGCACAACACTCTGTCATGATCAGAAAACTTGAGCAAAAAGAGTATGGTAAAACTAGAAATTGTAATAGACTAACCTAAGGAGGGGTAGTATGAGTATTCTAGTAGTATTAGTTCACTAGGTTAATAGTCCTTATTATAAATAGAGAGGGAGGGGAAAGAAAAGAGTAGGCATGAATAGGGTTATTGGAAATGGAACATAGCAACATCAAGTTGTATAGGAGATTTGTAGGCTAAACCTACTACCTTTGTAAGCTTTCGGCCATTATCAATCAAAACATCAAGCTATCATCTATTCATCTTTATTCGTTTGCTTTGTTAAATCAGAATACTAAGCTAGAAAATCAGCCTATTACAGAAATTGGTAGATATCACATAACATACCCCCTCATGAAGATACTCAATTCCATGAGAAATATCAAGAGCAATTTGAAGTCTCTCATCCCAAGTCAATGTATCATCTTCACCTGTCATTATTTAAATCCATCAATTAATTTTTAGAAGAAAAAAAAAAATACTTCGTACATGGTTTCAAAAATATATATATATATATATATATATATATATATATATATATATATATATATATATATATATATATATATATATATATATATATATACTTCGTATATAGCAAGAATAACGTCCGCTGAAAAAAAAAAAAAAAAATTGATACAAAACCTTAGCTTTAAGGCCTTCAACATAAGTAAATAATGCAAGAGCCCAATTTGGGATGATAAAAAACTTGAGAGTAGATGGAAGGACCAGTACATACTGTATAATCTTTTTTCCAAACTGCCATTGCTCATGTACTCGTAAATTAACATGTATTGCCCTTTATCCACACAGTAGCCCACCAAATTCACTAAATTTCGGTGATGCAGTCTACCTAACAAAGATACCTGCATTTTTAAAAAAGTATTGTTATCAAATATTTGCACATTAGGTTGCAGACAAATGCTATACATTGTTCTGTCTATTTAGATTAAAGAATAGGCCTGAATGCTTTTAAGGTAAAGTCATAGATCGAGTCTTTACCTCGGTCTGGAACTCTTTCTCACCCTGCCTAGAGTTGGAAGCTAGTACTTTGATGGCTGCCACTCCACCCGCAGGCATTGTTGCCTTGTATACTGGGCCAAACGATCCCTCTCCCAATATGTTTGTGAAATTTTGAGTAGCCTTCTGAATATCCCTGGCATTAGAATAGACCTGTTAGAGTAGCAATTGCAAACATCTCCTTAGTATGAATCACTATAATAAAGTCAGAAACAAGAGACACTGACCATGTAAACCAAAACAACACCTAAACTTGTCTTATTACAACAATAAGCCAGTATTTATTCTGTTGCTAGCAGAGTGATAAGGTCAACATATGACCTAACATTGTTTTGGTAGAATCGCCTTACTCTTTAGTTGGACAAAGGAAGAGAAGAGTCTGTTTAAATAATTTAAATTGAAGACATCAAAGACACATTTCAGATAATCCTGAATCAGAACCAAGTATCATAATAGAGAAAGTGTCAGAGTAACTTAATTTCCAAATCAGCCCAAAGACTATCCATTTATATTTTCATGGATGTTCATTTGCATAATTGCATCATCACTAACATCTTGTCAATACTCAATAGTACAAGATATTAAATAGATGATAGGTACCTTTCTCTACAAATATTCAAAAGTGTTGTAATAAATTTATCCCAACATATATGTCACTAAAGATGGTTCTCCATGTTCGTTTGTTTCATTATGAAATGACAGTAAGCAACCATTCTCCACTTGTCCCCCAATATTTTTATACAGGCAAAACAAGTTGCGAGTTGACCTATAAATTGTAGATGCATTGACCCAGCAAGAAACAGGTTAAGTAGCTTGACCAACAATATTTTAATCACAACTGCAAAATAATATGCATAAAACCTATGTCAAAATGATGAACAACTAGAACCAAGGTATTTGCCATTGGCTCATTTTCTACCCCATCAACACTATGGCATGGTCATCTTGAAATAATCATGATTTCAGGACTTGAAATTTGCGTTTACTTGATTAAAAAAAAAAAAAAAAATAAGGGAACAATATAGGAGTTTTTATTTTTATTTTTTTTGATAGATAGGCAGATATCAAATAAATGACCAAGGTAAAAAAAAAAAGCTACCCCCACCCTCCCTTCCTGATATATTATACTAGTATTTCTCTATATACCCTATGACTCAATGAGAGAAGCATCAAGAGGCAGAACATCGTAAAGCACCAATTGAGACCATAGAAAACCTACTTGTACAAGTATTTTGGTATGCCTGAAACTGAAGTTGTTCGATCCTTATTATGATGATTCAACCATAAGGGTGGCAAGCTTTTGGCTGGGAGATCTGGTAGAGGGACAACAACAGATTCTGACATCGAGGCACTCGAGTCTAGTCCCAGGCCACAGCCATTCTTGCGGATCGGGCGATTTGATATACCAAGATTCTCAAAATCTGAGCGCCTTTTGTACCATCTAAAACAGAAAAATACCACTGACGATATGAAAATGCCTAACAAAACTCCTGCAGAGGAGCATATAATGGCCAACTCAGTTTTGTTAACCATGCTTTGATTTCTTTATGTATGTAGGCAATGAGAGCATCTTAAACTTCTTTTGAGCTGACTGCATAACAAAGTTAAATAAGAGGTGAATTACAAATAATTGATTGAAAACAAAACATACAACCTAGGTAGTGTTTAACTGAACATCAATTCCTTGAAATATAAAAACAGATTGCCTCTATTCTTACATGACTGCCCAAGCCTTATTATCATTGAGCTACCAAAACTAATACCGTCAAGAAGAGCCAGGATAACAACACTAATAACTGAGCAAGCAAAACACATAAATCTTGTGAAACTTTTGCCCTTACACCTACTGTCATATGAATGGGAAACTCTGTAATCTATCAGGTTGCAACTAGCTAATCTTGTTGACCACTATGTATCCATACAAAGAGAATTAAACAACAAATTTGAGTTGCACTATGCAAATGGTTCCACACATAAATTCTAAACATTACATATTGTACAATTTTGTCCAGGGAAGGAAACTTTGTATTACTTGAAACCCGATGTTTTTTTACCTATTTTGGCAGAGAAGACAGTCTGCCTCCACATGCCCCAATTATAGTCTCAACTCTCAAGGGCACTTAACTCATCTATTGAATTACTCTGATTAGGATTAAGTGACAAGTCATAAAACTTTCAAATGGACTTAAATCAAAGAAAACAGTGGAAAAAAAGGGCAATGTCAGCCCTGAATAAAGTATAGCACTAGCTAAAATAGTTAGATGATCTATAATGTCCTTGCATACAAAATTTTGAATTTTGATACGGCCTTACCAAGTTGTCATAACCTGAACCTAAATTCGTAATCTATAAGATTGCCTAACATGGACCGGACAACACGCGATGAATCAATGACTATCATCATGATGGCCTAATGTGCACCGGTGTAGGCACAGCTTTGCATCAGCAATTTTCCCTTCAAAAAAGCAAAATCCCCATTCTAACTTTTTTTTCTTTAACCTTAGAGTCAATACAAACAAATGTGGAAGATCAAAACAAATCCTAAAATTTCCTTATTCTTAAGATTCAAAGGTGAGCCCTAATTACATTTGCATAACAGAGATTTTTAAAAACACCCTGAAATAGTTATTCACTGCTTAACATGACAATGCTATTCCTAAAAATACCAACAAATTCTTCTCATTGGAACTATTTACATAAACAATCATACAAATACAATTAGGGTTTGCAATTATCGTTCACCATTTTGCCATATCATACAATTAAACCAAGACAACAAAATCTCACAAATAAACACAACAAACAAAGATCATAAAACAAACAATTAATGGAAATCCTGAAGCTTTATGATAAGTTCATGAACTGGGTTTTGCGCAAACAACAAAATTAACATCAAATTGCTACAGAAATTATGAAAAATTGCATAATTTTCAAAAATATAATCATTGATCACTAAAGAGAACTTACCCTTTTATTGCAACAAGATGAAAACCCAGAAAGATTGTAGCTTTGCAAACCCAAAAATCAAAATTATAGTGGGTTTAGTAGTAGTTGTTTAGACGATTAAAGAGGGAAGACTTGACTGATTCTTGATGGAGTTGGTAGAAAATGAGAGTATTTGTTTTTAATAAAGAATACAAAAATGAAAGAGGAATAATTATGTAGAGCAAGAAAAAGAGGGAATTGGCTTAAGTGATGTTTGCTTTAGGAAACAAACAACTCATACAACTTACAACCAAAATGACGCGCTTGTGTTAATTAGTCCAAGTGGAAGAGGGGTAATGGTCCATAACGGAGTGGAATGGACCCGTGCATAATATATTATCCGGATTTGAAAATACAATATTTTAAGTATCGTGTATTTAAGGGACAAGAGGTTTATACGGAGTAGTAAATGAAGTAAATCCGATTCAATGTTTTAACATGGGAAGTGATTATTGAAGTTGATGATGGAAACCCGAATTCCTTATCTTCGTGCTTTAGAGATAAAAGTTCATATTAGTAATTACATAATTAATAATGTCTAATCTTAGAAGCTATGTATTGGATGTGATTCATTTATAGTACAACAAATTTCAACTGTCTAATCTTCAATTTTCTATTTATGTACTTGTTGATGACAGATCAATAGATCATGTACCATCATACCATATACCTCTAGCATATATGATTAATTCCTTACATTTGACTGACACTTCTTAAATATTTTAAGTTACTGATTTAGAATGGGGATAAATCTATGGTTTAGTGTCAGAGATCTAAGTCTAATTGTTAATTGTTTGTTTCTGATACTACCAGTGCACCAATAGGCAATAACTGATGTAAAGCATCACAAGTACATGAACTCCTACATAGGACTTATACAATTAATTGTGACCGGCTTGATCATTCACTGAGGCAGCAAGCAAGCAGTGAACCGCCGTGAGGAGTGAATGTATGTGTATCACTGTATTGGTAGGGTACAAATTTGCTAACACTGTTGTTCCTAGCCTTAACGTATGATATCAATACTAAGGCACGTAGCACCAAGAAGTGGCGAATGCGGGTTTGGTGCGGTTAAGAAGGATTGAAGGGATATTGTGGTTGTTGCATCACTTGTTGGATATCCGCTTGCAACAAAGCCCATGGAGGTGTGTTCGAAGTGGAGGGGGAGGGAACCTTTTTTTTTTTACTAAGTAACACTAAGCTCTCTGTTTTGCTAGTATTGTTATGATAGACTTAAGAATAGAGTAATATTTTGCTACTAAATATAGTTTAGGTTAATCTTTCCCTTCAAAAACACAATTTTGAAAAGAAAAAAATGAATTAGCCTCAAAATCATAAACTGTTTAAACATTTAAGGTCTTATAATCATAGAACTTAATTAGTAAATTGTGAAATTAGGGCCTTATCATAGAACTATATGCAAATTTAGGGTCTTATCATAGAACATTTGCTACTAAACATTTATTATTTTGCTAGTATCATAGAACATTTAGGGTCTTATCATAGAGCTATATACAAATTTCAAAGATATATAATTAACTTACATACAAGTTCTAGTGACATTGTAGTACGAATTTATAATGGACAATAATTTCAATTAAAGCATAACTAAAAATCTACTTCGTATGTGTTTTTACTTGCTTATAACTTAATAAGCTTGAACACACAATGTGGCTGTCCTGGATGACACCATGGATTGTAAGCCTTGTACTGAGCCCAAAACATGCTATGACAAGCCAGTCAATAAAGCCCATTAACAAGAGGCCCAATAAAATACCCATCATACAGTTTTCCAAGAATTGATACTTCTCCATCAGTCCATCATACTGAAATTTAGGTTCAAATCAACAAAATCAGCTGCCATGTGAATATTCCATCCAACCATATAATATATAAAAATAGTATTTCATATACGTAGTATTTTTTTGGGTGCACTACCTAGTTCACCCTTTAGGCTAATTTTAAGAATGTATCTTACAAATGTCATTCTATGTACTTCATGTATAGTATAAGTGCAAAGTTATAACAAAGTAGGACGTTAGATTATTTTCAAATACCCCATATAATATGAAAATTTTAAGGTGCAGGCAGTTGTACCTTACTTGGTACAACCAAAAAATGCAAAAAGAACATGTAACTATTTTGTAAAGAGCATACAATTATTTTGTAAAGAACATATAGTTATTTTATAACAAACATCTAATTTTATATATTTTTTTCATATCTAAAGAACATCTGCAATATTAATAAAGAACATGATAATATTATGTAATAAACTTTATCTATATATAACCACCCTAATTTGAAGACAAAATTTAATAAACATTTCACATTAAGCAATGATCATTATGTTGCAAATAAAGTACATTACACTAACTGATCAATGAACATAAACATATTTTCTTTTTATTTATTTTTTTGGTGCAAATATGTTCTTTTCACTCTAGATATATGTTCATTACATTTTAATAGTATGTTATTTTTACTTTAGGTATATGTTCATTACATTTTAATAGTTTGGTCTTTTCACTATAACTATATGTTCATTACTTTTATATATCATGTTCTTTCTTACAAAACGACTGTACGTTGCACCGTACAGGCACCTGTAGGAACCAGCTATTGTTATATAATATATTGAAGAATAAAATAAAAAATAAAGAAAATTAACTAATTAATACTAAGACCTCTTCACCTTAAAAAAATAATATTAAGTAAAAGTACGTTCAGTTCAGTAAAAAAAAATTCAGTTCAGTAAAAATAATTTCAGTTCTGTAAAAATAAGTTCAGTTCAATAAAATTCAGTTTTCTTAAAGAAAAATTATAATAGAAAATCAGTAAAAATAATTTCAGTTCAGTAAAATTAATTTAAGTTTAGGAAAAATAATTTAAATTCAGCAAATATAATTTTATTTCAGTAAAAATAATTTCAGTTCAGCAAAAAAATAAGGTGAAGAGACGGGCCTAAGTGACTAGAAATTTTCTGTTGCAAACTTTTGCAACAAAAGGATTAAGAATACCGTTGAACAATAGCGGATATCTTGAGAAACCTTAAAAGTGTGAGTTGTCTAGCTGGAATAAAGGACTTTTTGCCTCTTTCTCATAGAATGAATGAAGCCTGCGTAAAGACTAAAGAGTTATTAAAAAGGGGGGGGGGTGTTAGATGGGAATTGGAAAGTGTTGCTATGTTGATGATTTAAGGTAAATTAGACAAAGTTAAAATTAATAAAGTGTTTTTTAAAAAATTAAGGTAAGGCTGGGAGGGTAAGAGATCTCCACATTTAAAGTGCCTTTTATTGGGATTAAACCCCAACCTCAAGGTTGAAAGGTGCAATCTTTTCCATTAAATCAAGCTTATATTGAAGTGAAGATTCGAGGAACATTGAACTAATTCACACCCAGCCACCACATACCACTAACTGTAAATTTTTGAATCCATCAATCATTGCAGAACATTGAAGTTTATATTGAAGCGAAGATTCGAGGATATACTTTACTATTTTAGGGTAAGATATTATTCAAGGTGAGATATGTCTCCACTTGAATTTGTCTTGATGATAAAAATCGGCGATTTCGAGTTCATCTCAGAGATATCAATTCTCATTTATCACACAAGCCACATAAGCATATTTTAATATTTTTAAATACCAAGAGGTGGGGTCCTTATTTTAGTGAATTGACGACGTTACATGACCATTTAACGGAGGGGTAGTTGCTGGAAAACAAGCAAAACACCAGAAACTTTTCTAATCGAGCTTGCCCTGTTCGCTGTTACCCTTCTCTCTTTGTTTTCTTCACCAAACTAAACCCACCCAGAAAGTAGCGAAGGGTAAGCTGTCCGGAGCTTGGATCTATGGAGGATTCGTAAACTTTGGTCTCCCACTGCCCTTCAGACGAATTCATTCGTTGATGTTCGGCCTGGATGCAAGGTGTTGTCACTTATAAAGGTAAGCTCAATGTCCTCAGTAGTTGAGGTGTACGTAGTTAATATCGCTGTTGCTAATTTAATTTCGACAATTTGTAGTGTGAATTGGTCGTAACCTTTGATTTGCGACCTGTGTAGTGGTATATTCTTCTAATTGTTATTGTATGAATTATGAATTCTGATTGCTATATGGGTGACTTCATTTCTGAATTGTTTTTTGAATTATTTGTAATGCAGTTTGGGTGAACTGAATTCTGAATTGATTCTGAAATTTTTGGTAATGTGAAAGAATTATGAAATTTTGGTAATGTGAATTAAATTCTGAATTTTTGGTAATGCGATTTTGATTAGGTTTATTTCTGAATTTTTGGGCCTATGTGTGTTTCCTATGTGTTTGATTACTGTCTTTACTGATATTGCATTATTCTATAAACTGCTGTAGTTGATGATACATAATTTGTGTTTTATATAGTTTGCAGTTAGTTATGTGTTAAATTCTGCTGTTGGTGGTCATTGGTAGCTGTGGGTAATGGATGAGAATTTTGAAATGGATGCAGATAGATTTAGTCCCTTAGGAGGGGTGGGGTGTGATGATATTGGTACGTTGATGGAGATATGTGTAGATGATAATGAAAATGAAGGCAATATTACTTTGGATGAAGAGAACTTGGATAATATATCCCTCTCACAGACCGTTGAATACAATTCTCCTTTACCATGTATCAATGACAACTCTTGTAGTCAAAACCATCAAGGTTCCCCAGTTGAGAGTGTAGAGACCTTAAATACAACAGTGTCAACAAATGATGTGATTGAAGGCACCTCTATTGAACCTCCAAAGGCCGGAATGGTTTTTAAAGGATGGAAGGATATTGAGTGTTATTACAAACTATATGCTGAGGAGTGTGGCTTTGGGGTTAGCCGGGTTCAAGGATCATATACTACTAGTAAAGAGAGAAGGGGAATCACTTGGAAGTGTGAATGTTATGGTGCACCGGATATGAGGGCGAAGCGAGAGGCTAAGAAAAGGGCGAAGCAAATGGATGTTGGCGGTTGTGGAGGAAATGTGAATGGTGTAATAGGGGAGGCAGAGCTATCACGTGGGAAAAGGAAATCTAAAAAATGTTATTGTAAAGCTAGGGTATATGGAAGTGTGAATCGTGAAGGGCTTTGGGTGTTGCAAAGAGTGGAGTTGGAGCATAATCATGATCTGTGTCCAAGTATGGCAAATTTAGTGAAAGAGTACCGTATGAAGAAGATGACCTCCACTGTTCGCAAGCGGTTGGTGAATTATTATGAGGTGGGTGTACCTGTGAGTGTAATACGTCGATGTTTAGGCACGGAAAATCCTAATTTGCCTAATGTGAAGGATATGCAGCATGAGGTTTACAAACAACGGCGGCTTAAGATGGCCGGTGGAGATGCTCAAGCCATGATGGCTTACTTTGATTACATGCAAGCCGATAATCAGAATTTTTACCATGCACATAGGTTGGACGATAAAGGTCGTTTAAAGGACGTCATGTGGGTTGATGCTCGGAGCCGTGTAGCTTATGAAGACTTCGGTGACGTCGTTTGCTTTGATGCCACGTATCTCACAAATGAGTATGAGCTACCATTTGCTAATTTTGTAGGAGTCAATCACCATGGCCAGTCGATCTTATTAGGTTGTGCCCTAGTTTCTCATGAAGATTGTGATACTTTTCGATGGTTATTTAAACAATGGTTGTTGTGCATGGGCAATAAAGCCCCTCTTGCCATCCTAACTGACCAAGCCCCTGCTATGAGGAAGCCATTTGTTGAAGTCATGCCTAATACACGCCATCGATGGTGCATATGGCATATTCTCCGGAAATTTCCTGACAAACTTGGGAGGTGTTCCATGTAAGTTTTCTAGATTGGTTTTATTAAAATTGTTTTTGTGTTTATAATGAAACTTTTCAGATTTCTTTTTGTTTTGTTATGAAGAATCTTCACCTGTTTTGTGGTTGTTTTGTTGTGTTGTTTGCAATATCATATTGGTATGTTTGTTGCCATTTAAGTTTTCTGCTATTATTTTTGTTGTGTTGTGTGCAGTATGATGTTGCCATATTTGTCAGTGAAATGGTGTTATAATTGATACCTGCTATGTATCAAGAGAGTCAGTACCTGCTAAAAGGAATAGTACTTTATTGAGATCCAAGTATAAGACCTTTTTATTTATTATAACAGCTAACAGTGCAGAAAGGAGCGTTACTAGGTTAATTTTCGGGTTCAATACTGAATTAAACATTTCTATAGAGTGCCTTCTATAACTCATCAGGCGTGGAACATCAAAAACTCAAAAATGTTGCCAAAACTATGGATTGTTAATAAAGTAAAATTGGATCTCCTTGATCACACCTGCTCTAAAACCCCTTCCTAATCAATTAGACATACGCAGATCTAGCAATATAGTGTGGACAATAAATTCTCTAACGAATAAGGTTAAACCATTGATGTGGTCAAGCATATTAACTACAGACATTTCTCCCAATAGAATGATATCTACTCAAATTCGACAACAAAATAAACATCAATTGTGAAATTCAGCAACAATATCATATTAAACTACAGACATTTCTCCCAATAGAATGATATCTACACATTGTAAGTTCCACAATTAGTTAATCTACAATTGAATATGAACAAAGAGGAGTAAAGGGTTTGTAGCTGATAAACCCTAGGACAAAATAGGGTTCAAGGGTATCAAACAAGTAAAGCAACATCAACCAATCAATCAATTAAACAACACAATCAATAAAAAAAAAATCCATTTAATCCAGTATGCAGCCCTTTCATATGCGGTTGCCTAGATCCATTACTAACCTGTATTCACCAAATAATTTCGCACCATCACATGTAGAAACAAGTTCATAATTTAACCACTACCTCTGACTAAAACTTGAAAATTAGATAATGCATACCACCTTATACCAGACCCATCATCTAAGGAACACATTCTCCTATGTGAATTAACTGCAAGGAAGACATTCTCCTATGTGAATTAACTGCACATAATTTACTCAGCTTGTTAATCTACGATAGCTTCAATCGACAACATAAGATAAAGGGATTGGAATAGTCATAATCACCTACATGAAGACCTCGACAATGGGCTAGGTACAAAAGGAAGATGAGACCAGACGTTCTAAAATGTAGAATGGTCAACATGTCAAAATTTAAAGAAACGCTCTCCAAAATAGAGAGTTTCAAATGGTTAAATACGAAAATAGCACAATAAAGACCCAGGAATGTAAACCAATGAACCAAAGAACCAGGAATTTCAAAATAGAATCCCCAACACTTCATTTGACATTGTACGATGAATTGCAAACAAAATCAACTCAAGCATGAAAATCAGAAGATGTTACCTAAAATTCCCTCGCAAAGATTCATAAATTAGATTAAAGAATATGACTGGTCACAAGGCAACTATATTGACTATTTTCCTATATAGTAAGATTCAATGTTTCTTCAAAAAAAAAAAAGAATAAGGGTCCTAAAACCTGGACACATACTGCAAAGTGAAGATGCTCAGATAGGCAAAGTCAGGCATAACTCAATAACATTAATACAAAGTAACCATTTATGCAAGGAAAATACATACTAATCAAAATAACAATCAATTGCATAATTAGCAGTATAGCAACACATATTCATACAATCAATTCATTGATTAGCAGGACAATCAATTGGTAGCAAAATTCAATTGTTAAATTTAAATTTGCCGAATTCAATTCCTAATTAACCAACATTCAATTGTTCAAATTGCAGGACAATCGATTGATTCTATAAGCATATTAGGAAGCTCAGCATAACTCAGTCGCTTCTATTTAACAACCTCAACATAACTCAGTAAACAATCAATTCATTAATTAGCGGGACAATCAATTGGTTAATTAGCACAATTCAATTCATAATTTAGGAACATTCAATTCATGCAGGACATTCGTTGAGCTTCGACAAACAGATAAGCAAGCTCAACAACACTCAGTCGGGACTAATTATTAAAAGGCTAGAACGTTAAAATGTGAATTAAATATAACAAACGCAATTAATACTTACAGCCAGTCATCAAATACAAAGATATCGACCACGTTTCCGGGTTACCAACACGGAGACCCACCTAACTTGCTCGGAGACCATACAACAACATCCCCCTTCTGGTAACAAGGCCGGAAAAGTGATCATCACGGGTTGCCGGATTCTGCGACCCTTCGTTCTCGATCCACCTCTACACTCGCCTCTTTTATCTCAACTATCACCATGAATGAACATCAACATTTCGTATGTCACATTCTTTCTCCTAGGTTTCCATTAGTCTACTTTGGTCGAGGATAACGTTCAATAAAAACAGCCGTTTCTGAGTCACCTTCTGTTAATTTTAATATTCCAATTATACCCTTAGTCATAATTGCGAAATGACGAATAAACCCCCGAGATAAACACCAAACGTTCATCTCTGAGATGAATGGGGGTCCCCCCGATAAAAATACAAAAAATCCATCATTATCTTGAACCAATATAATTTTTCTGTATATAATACAGAAAACTACTGGATATGTTGTACTCTATTGTATGCATTATTTATCTTTATGTTTGAATGTTCATATATGTTGCAAATTTCACATTGTACATTATAAAGACAAATTTTTAAATAAATCGGATGTATAAATGGTACATCTGTTATAAAGTGATTATTTTAATCATTGTTTGGTTTTCTAATGAATAACGAATAGACGTGCACTTATTAAACTAATGATGTACACTATTCAGCTGGTATAGATTTTTCTAATGATGGGTGTATATGGACACTTCCTAAGCTAACTTACACTTTAGGGAGGGAATTAGTACATGGAGAAATAAATAAGAATAAAATCTTTCCATGCTCGATCATTTCAAAAGTCAATTATAAACAAATTCCCTTAAATTCACCATTTTCCAATTTAAAATACTTTATATAAATGAAACTAATAATGCATATGTAATTAGACATTTGGCAATCGTCTAATTTTTTTTTTTTTTTGAAAGGTTACAATCGTCATTTATCTATTCATAAGATAGTTAGTCAGTTTAGACATGTATAGATAAAAATCATTTAATCCTCCATCCAAAATGATGCATCATACCAAATTTCACCATCGGCCATTTCCTAATTATAAACCATTTTTGCAACGTTTTTCTTTAAGTGAAACTAGTACACCTTAATGCAAATAAAATTACATATACAATTAGAGACTTACCAATCGTACGTCAAGCTGTTAGATAGACAGTTTAGGCCATGTATCAAGAGAACGATATTACTTAATCATCTATCCAAATTAAACGACATTCTCATGGAAAAGACAGTACACAAATACACAATCTCTCAAAGTTGTCAACAAATAAAATAAAAATGATTATTTCCCATATTAGCAAGAAAGCAACGTGACGATTGACGCGGATTGCATCATTAAATCTTGAACCCCTTTTCTTTTCATATTCTTCCCTCTTTATTCTTTAACTAAATTAAAAAGCAACATTTTAGCAAAAAAATTAAATTAAAAAGCAACATAATTTATAAATTCCCACTAATTTTCGTATATAAATGTGGCTTTCATGTTCGACTGTTTGTATTTGATAACCCCTTCTATCTTTTCATCAGGCTTTACAGAACACTCATCTTTTTCCATATAAATACATAAAAAAGCTCCATATTTCTACCAAAAACACAGAAAATAATGGTTCCAAGAAATATATTCTTGCACATGTTATTCTTATTTTTCTCAAATTTTCTGTCCACAAAATGTAGTTCACCACAACCTCTTGTTCCTGCGTTTTATGTCTTTGGTGATTCATTATTCGATAGTGGGAATAATAATTTATTGCCTACGTTGGCTAAGGCTAATTATTTTCCGTATGGTCTCAATTTTCCTGGAAGTTTACCTACGGGAAGATTTACTAATGGAAAAACTGTTGTCGATTTTATAGGTACGTATGTTCTATTTTATATAGCACACTTATTCTTATTGTTCGGTTATTTTTTTAAGTTTAAAAACGTGTACAAATTAATGTTACATAGTGAAAATTTTAACATTAATTTCTTAGTTCTTGCTCCCTTGGAATTCTTGCGGTTGAGCTTCAATTGATTGGTTTGAGTTTGCTATATTGCTATGTATGTAGCTGATTATCTTGGAGTGCCATATCCTCCACCGCGAGTTAGCGTATTCCGGCCAACATCGTACACGGGATACAACTATGCCTCTGGATCTTGCGGAATTCTTCCTGAAACCGGAAAGTTTATCGTAAGCAATACTAATTTAAACTCAAATTGTCGCTTTTAAAATTTTCATTATGTTAGATTTTGTGAAACTCCACATACATGTACATCAGTCCATTATACACATTCAATATGATGCATTAGTTTAATTAGTTAATACTTCCCTCCCGATTCTAGATAATTTTGGATCGATGATCTCTCTATACAACAAAATAAGAGTTAAAATATAATATGGAGTATATAGGCTGAATATATGGTGCCATTGACTGTGTCTTAGAAATATTTTTGCGCATTTCAATGTGATATACTGATATGGAACATTGACACGCATATGGGTATGTTGTATCTTGTATGTATATATTATTGCCATTTAGGCCCAACTTATCTTCATTGTAATATACTTTATTACTTTATTTTTTGGCTAATTTTCATTTTTCAACTATTGTATGCATACATGTATAATACCACCTCTTATCCTACTCGATTAGTGGCTTAGTGGTGATATAATTATGACAGTAAATCAAACAAATAAAGTAAAAAAAATCATACTTTTTGATCTTCCGACATCATAATTTTTATTGGAGATCATATGTTCAAGAATTTACTTAGTTGACATCGAAATTGAAGGGCAATTGTTATTCACTTTTTTTGCGCCCTACGTATACCATGGAGAGTTAATTATTATACCATGTTTTCAAAGTCAAATTATATGTTTGTTCATAAACATGAAATTCTATATGATTAATCGATTTAGCTACTTCTTCCATCCCAAATAGCTAAGCTATAAGTGACTTATAGTCTCTAATTATCGGTACTCCAAATAGATAGGCAGGATAGACTCGTAAGTCCTAACCAAATTTTTTATGTCCTGCTTATTTTAAATATTTTACATTTAAATATACCCGAATGTATGTAAGCTTTTTCTTTATTTAGTTTTTAAATTTTGTTTACTCAAGTCATGTATGTGCCTATTTGGGGATAAAGTGTGTATCTGTTGCAAGACTAATAGTCCAATTGGATTTGGGTTGGAATTTGGGAAGTGCTATAGAAGTAAAGTGAACTACTTAAGTCAAACTTGACCCAAAGAGTGTTCATATGGGCTACAAGAAAGTGAGGCCCACACGTTTTCCAAAGTAACAAAAAAATAAGAGCGAAAAAAGTGCAAAAGAAAGTTCTGATGATATAAGTGTAGTGTCTCTCAATCTCTAATGTCCATGGGACCATGGCCCATGATTATCATAGAATTTGTAAATCTGACTTTTTAAAAGTTTATTTTATTTTTATTATTATTTTTTTTTAAATACCACCTCCATTTTTTTTTTTTATTATTTACAACTTTAGAATATCTATATCTCATAAATTATATCATAAATAATATAAAACGAAGGTAGTAAAAAAAAAAATCCATTGTTTGTCTCGTTTAAAACTTTTATTTTTTTTAATACACAAAGAAATAAATATAATTGCAAGATAATTAATCAAATTGGTTTTTACTTCCTCCGTTTTCTTTTACTTGCAACACTTCCTTAAAAAGGAAATGTCACAATACTTGAAACACACTATAAAAGGAAATTTAGGGAAAAACTATACTATTTACCTTGTTTAAAGCACATGGCCCACTAAATTACACTCCTAATAACCACTAATCCTATTTTAAAGTTTATTATTTCATGTAAACCCCACAATTTTTAATTACCGCGCTAAAGGGTGTGTTGCATCTAAAAAAACGGAGGAAGTATAATACGAGTATTAAATTTTATAACTCCGTAACATATAGACAAAGATATTTATGTTTAAACACAGATATATTATTTTGCAGGGTGAATGCTTGAATTTGGATGAACAAATGAGAATGTTCAAAGAGACAGTGGAAAAACAGTTGTCCTCAAAATACAAAAACTCGGCTGAGCTTTCCCAATACATGGCCAAGTCCATTTTCATTTTCTCAGTGGGAAATAATGATTACATCAACACTTATTTTGGTCCTTTTAAGACAAGAAAACAGTATAATCCTCAACAATTCGCACAACTCCTTGTTGATACATTATCACTAAAATTACAGGTATTAATTTTATCAATTTTTATATAGATTTGTTATTTTTATTTAAATTGTGTTATAATGAGATTATAATTGAGAACAACATTGTGTACATATTTACCAAAGTCGAGAATAATCTTTATTTACTTATTATCAAATTATAGTTTAAATTTCACTAACATTATAAATGAATGTATGCTCTAAGTGAATCTGAATGTATGGAAAAACTGTTGCATCATTTTAAAAATTAGCTTTTGATTATTAATAGTATTTGATACGTACAATTTTCTTGTTAAAATTGCAGAAACTTTATAATTTCGGAGCAAGGAAGATTGTGGTGTTTGAGCTAGGTCCAATTGGTTGCATTCCATCAATTGTTAGAAGTTCAAAGCTAAATGGAAAATGCGATGAAAATAAAAATGAAATCGTTAATATGTTCAACACTAAGCTTGCATTATTGCTCAAGAATTTAACTTCTACTCTCCAAGACTCACATTTTATTATCGGAAAAGCACATGGACTAGGATATGATGCTGTCATCAATCCCTCAAAATATGGTATGCCAACATTTTTCTAAGGGCCTGTTCACACTTATTTAATTTCAGTTTAGCTCAAATTAGTTCAGTTTAATTCAGCTCCAATCAGTTCAGTTCAGCTCCTAATTTCACTCTCTCATAAAATATTCAGTTCAGTTCAGTGCAGCTCCAATCAGTTCAGTTCAGCTTCAATCAGTTCGGTTAAGTTCTGTTCAGTTCTGTTCAATTCAGTAAATGTGAACAGGCCCTAAGCCTTTTCATATATTTCGTATGCAATAAGTTTTAACGTGTCCAATAGACCAATCCTTATAATTGACAACTAATTTGAAATATATGGACCTCGAAGTGACTCATGTACAAATAATGTTGCAGGGTTAAGTGATAGTAGCAATCCGTGTTGCAAAGCATGGGGAAATGGTACATTCTCGTGCATACCGGTGGAAGCACCATGCTCATCCCCCGACGAAAACTACTTTTGGGATGGCTATCATCTAACTCAAGCAACATATTCTGTTATTGCATCTCAATGTATTAGTGGCTCTGATGTTTGCGTTCCTATGAATATCCAGCAGCTTGTTCAAGTTTAAGATTCAGTTTCTAGCTTAATTAGCGAGTTAATGCTTGGATAATTGTTAGCTATTACAGCAAATATCATTCTTAGATATTTGTCCAAAAGTTGTTACAAGTTTGTTATAACTTCCCGGTTTTCTAGGAAGTTTGTTATGGGTTGTTTAACCCATTTATTACATTTATTTCCCCTGTATATATACCTGATTCTAACATTAATAAAATGGATTATTATTTTTCACAAAATTAATTCTCTTTCTTCTCCTTACTCTCTGACTTTCTCTCTCTAAATTCTGGGTTTGTTCATGGTATCAGAGCAAACAGGCGTTTTCCGCCATTGTTTTCTTCTCGATTGATCTGCATAATTGCAGAATTCCTTTCATTTGTTCTGTATAATTACAGAATTTCTTCTCTTCTTCTTACTGATTTTTCGAATCTCTCGAGCTTCTTTAATGGCGGCTTCTACTGATCCTCAGATTCAAACTCAGAATAGTGTGAATTTTGCTGATCCTTACTACCTCTCTAATGGCGATCATCCTGGTATGCAGCTTGGAAATCACATTCTCACTGGTTCCAATTTTCTCAATTGGAGTCGCACTGTTCGGATGGCGTTGATTGCTCGAAATAAGCTTCAATTTGTTGACGGTACTCTTCCTTCTCCTTCTCCTGATTATCAGAAATGGATTCGTAATGACTATATGGTGATGTCTTGGCTTTTGAATTCTGTTGATAAAAGTTTAGCTGAGAGTTTCATGTTTGTTAATTCTTCTGCTGATTTGTGGAAAGAGATTTCTGAGCGGTTTGGTCAGTCTAATGCACCTCAGGTGTTTGAATTGCATATATCTTTGAGTTCTTCAAATCAAAATAATGATAGTATTGCTGAATACTATGGTCGATTGAAGAGTGTTTGGGATCAATTGCAAATTCTTGAAGGATTTCCTGATTGTACTTGTGAAGCTTTAAAACTCTGTAGTTGTGGAGTTCTCAAGAAAATTCTTGAGATGGATCAGAGAAGGAAGTTGATGCAACTATTGGCTGGTCTTAATAGGAACTATGATCAAGTTAAGACTAATCTTCTAAGTCTTGATCCTTTGCCTTCGATTAACAAGGCTTATCATACTCTTCAACAAATTGAACAACAGAATAAGTTGAATTTGTTGGCAACAAATTCTGTTGAAACAAATTCCATGAATGCTGCTGCTAATGCAGTTATGACTCCTAAGGTTTTTCCTAAGCCTTCTTATATGCAGAACCCTGATTATAAGAAGATTAAGTCTGATCTTCTTTGTACTCATTGTAAGAAACGAGGTCATGGTGTTGATTCTTGTTTCAAGTTGTATGGTGTTCCTACCTGGTATACTGAGTTGAAAAGGAAGGCTCCTGCTAATGTCAGGTTGGCTGGAAATGCTTCTGGTTCTGCTGGAATTCTTGGTAAAGCGCCAGTGCAGGGTGATGAACATGGTTCTTCTATTTCTTCTGCTGATCCTACAGCTATGACTCACATGTATAATGAATTACTTCGGATGATACAGAATAAGTCACCAAGTTCTTTAGACAATCCTTTGTCTTCTGCAATCAACTTTGCAGGTACTACTATTGCCTTTCATGTGGATAATTTGAAACATGTTTTTGATAAGACTGCTTGGATTATTGATACTGGTGCTAGTGACCATATGGTTGGTAATTTAGACTTATTTGCTTCAATTCATAAACTGAAAAATCCAATCAAAGTTAGTTTGCCTGATGGAACATTTACTTTTGTTTTGTATGCTGGTTCTGTTGCTTTAACTGTTGATCTTCTCATTCATAATGTTTTCTATATTCCTTCCTTTAAACACAATCTATTATCTGTTGGTAGATTACTTGATCATCACAGTTTAGTTGCTCATTTTGAAAAGGATTCCTGTCTATTTCAGGACCTTGTCTCTAAGCAAGTTAAAGCTGTTAGAACAAGATTTTCTGGACTCTACAAGTTTAGTTCTACTTCTTCTGATTTTCATTCTTCTGTAAATAATATACAGCATGTTGATGTTTCCATGCTTGCTAATAATCTCATTACAAAATCTGTTTTACCTAGTATTGATGTTGTTCATGCTAGGTTAGGTCATCCTTCTGCTAGTCATATGAAACATGTAACTATTCCTATATCAGGCAATAAAACTTGTGATTTTTCTTGTGAAGCATGTGTTCTTGGCAAACATCATAAATTTCCCTTTTCCATATCTTTGTCTATGGCTTCTCAACCTTTTGATCTTATTCATGTCGATTTGTGGGGCAAATATAAGAGACCTAGTTTGTCTGGAGCATTTTATTTTTTGACTGTTGTGGATGACAACACTAGAGTGACTTGGACTTTTCTGATTCATGACAAGACTCAAGTGTTTTCTGTGATTACTGGATTCTTTTCTTATGTTCACACTCAGTTTGGGAAATCAGTTAAAATGCTTAGAAGTGATAATGGTACTGAGATAATTCAGGAGGTTTGTGCTAAGTTCTTTATTGAGCAGGGTATTATTCATCAAAAGAGCATTCCTGGCAATCCTCAGCAGAATGGGAGGGTTGAGAGGAAGCATAGACATCTATTAGAGACTGCTAGAACCTTAAGATTACATGCTTCTCTTCCTTACAAGTTTTGGGGTGAATGTCTGTTAGCAGCAACCTATTTGATCAACTTGTTACCAAGTTCTGTTCTACACTGGAAGTCTCCCTTTGGGTGTTATTTGGGAAGCCACCTAATTACTCTCATTTAAGGGTACTAGGGTGTTTATGTTATGCTGCACAGAAATCTGGTGATAAGTTTGATGCTAGGGCCAAGAAATGTGTTTTTATTGGGTATCCCTATGGCCAGAAAGGGTACAAGTTGTATGATTTGCAATCACACATGGTTGTGTTAAGTAGAGATGTGTATTTTGTGGAGAATATTTTTCCTTTTAAGGATTCTTTCACTGATCAGTCTGCTATTCAGAAAGTTCAGGACAATGGTGAATCCTGCTTTAGATGTTAATCCTGTTACTCAGGATTTTCTTCAACATCTCCCTAATTCTGATTCTGATTCTGATTCTCAGAATCATGCTCTTGATTCTAGTTCAGATCATTCTTTTTCTGATCAGATTTATTCTCCTCTTTTACACCATGATTCATCTTCACCTTCTTCCTCTTCTGATTCAGTTCCTTCTCTAAGAGTTTCTACTAGAATTAAGACACTTCCAAAGAAATTTGATAATTTTCAGGTCAAAATTCCTGGTTTGAAACCTGCTTCTGTTTCTTCTGATTCAGATGCTAGTTCTTCTTTCAATACATTTTCTGAATCTCCAGTTTCTGTTTTAGACCACAGTCTGCAAGTTAGTCTTGCAAATATGCTTACAGCCTTTGAACCTAGTACTTACAATCAGGCTAAGGAACATGATGAATGGGTGATTGCTATGAATAAAGAACTTGAGGCTATGGAGCAGACTGATACATGGGAAGTGGTTGATTTGCCACATGGGAAGAAAGCAATTGGCTCAAAATGGGTCTATAAAACAAAGTTTAACCCTGATAGTTCCATTGAGAGATGTAAGGCTAGAATTGTAGCTAGGGGAGACAAACAGGTCAAAGGCAAGGATTACAAGCACACTTTTAGTCCAGTTGCAAAATTTTCAACTGTAAGGACTATAATTGCTTTGGCTGCTGCTCACAATTGGGATATTCAACAAGTAGATGTGAATAATGCTTTCTTGCATGGGTTTATTGATGAAGAGGTGTATATGACACCACCATTGGGTTATACTAAAGCTTTACCTGGCCAAGTTTGTAAGCTCAAGAGATCTATTTATGGTCTGAAGCAAGCCTCTAGATGCTGGAACAAGGAGCTTAGTGTTATCTGATTGATTCTGGTTTTGTCCAATCAAAACAGGATTATTCTATGTTTGTTAAACATGTTGGGAATTCTTTTACAGCAGTTGTAGTCTATGTTGATGATCTGTTGATTACTGGGAATGATTATGTTGTTATTGCTGGTCTCAAGTCTGCTCTTCATCAAGCTTTTACTATTAAAGATCTAGGGCAGCTCAGATATTTTCTTGGTATTGAGGTTACTAGATCTGATTCTGGTATTCTTTTGAATCAGAGAAAATACATCTTAGACATGTTAAGGGATGCTCACATGGAGAATTGTTCTACTGCTACTTTTCCTTTACCTAAGGGTCTTAAATTGTGTGGTTTTGAAGGCAATATTCTTCCAGAGATTTACAGGAAGTTGATTGGTAAGCTGCTTTACTTGAACCTTACCAGACCTGACATTAGCTATGTTGTTCAGCAACTTAGTCAGTTTCTTCATCAGCCTAGAGATACACATTTATCTGCTATCACACATGTTCTGAAATATCTCAAAGGGACTCTGCATTTGGGACTGTTTTATCCTGTTCAGAATGATTTGGTGTTATTTGCATATAGTGATGCAGATTGGGGTACTTGTGCAGATTCTGGAAAGTCTTTATCTGGCTATTGTGTTTTCTTGGGCAAGTCTCTTATTTCCAGGAAAACAAAGAAACAGAAAGTGGTATCTAAAAGCTTTACTGAGGCTGAATACAGATGTATAAGTTACACTTCTAATGAGTTGATTTGGTTGGATGGGTTACTAGATGATTTAGGTATTCATGTTCCTACACCTATTTCTCTATTTTGTGACAATATATTTGCAATGCATCTTGCAGAAAATCTAGTTTTCCATGAGAAACCTAAACATCTCAGGAGTAAACATCAGAAGTTAGATGTTCATTTTGTCAGAGAAATGGTTCAATATGGTTTATCAAGACTGTGCATGTGAAGTCTGCTATGCAACTTGCAGATTTAATGACCAAGCCTCTTGGAGCAGAACAACACAAGTTCCTGAGTCTTAAACTTGGTCTGATTTCTCAAGTTCCATCTCAAGATTGGTCTTGCTGTGTTCAAGCAATTCAATCTTGAGGGGGGGGTGTTAGCTATTACAGCAAATATCATTCTTAGATATTTGTCCAAAAGTTGTTACAAGTTTGTTATAACTTCCCGGTTTTCTAGGAAGTTTGTTATGGGTTGTTTAACCCATTTATTACATTTATTTCCCATGTATATATACCTGATTCTAACATTAATAAAATGGATTATCATTTTTCACAAAATTAATTCTCTTTCTTATCCTTATTCTCTGACTTTCTCTCTCTAAATTCTGGGTTTGTTCAATAATAGATCAACATTATTATTGATAGATATATTAGCACATTTTTTTGATTAAAAATCAAGGAAATAATGAGGTAGATGATTTTTTTTAATCACGAGATTGATTGTAGTTAATTGTTAGCCTTTTTAATTATTTAAAAAAAGAAAAAGATTTTTCACCACCTAATTGTATAATGACAAAGTGATTCAAATGAAAAAAAATGTTAAAAGTGATTTACTTGTATGCTTTTAAGAAGATTAACAATTACAATAATGTAGACACATCACAAATTTAAAGAGTAAAGATCAACAAAGAGGTATCAATATATCATACTTTTTTGTTTTAATTTTATTTCTATTTTTATTTGGTGAGAGAGACACAAAGATGGATGATGAGAATTGATCCTAGAATCTCCCAAAATCAGAAAAGAAGTGTTAACCACTTGGAGTGCATACACGATTTGATATTATGTAGTTGATATCTATATACTTGTAGAGTTACTAAATGAAATATAGCCGGAGTAATTAACAAGTTAGACACTTATATTGATAGACTTGTTAATTTTGATATTTTTGACCCAATTATTAACCAATAATAGTTCAATACCACTATTTTATCAAACTTTTTTTTTTAATTCTATTGTATTATTACAATGAACATGAATCTTATCGATCGATGAATTCTAGCCTTTTTTGTTTGTTAGATGAATTTTAGGCCAAGATATTATTTAAAGGTAAGTTTTGTCTTCACTTCAATTTGTTCAAATGATGAAACATAATAAAATCCACCATTATCAATCAAATTTCTGCATAAAACAAAAATTGGCCTGGCACTCTATTGTATGCATTATTTGTCTACAAAAAATATCATACTTTTCCCTAAAAAATTAACAATCACGTCAAAAAATAAATAAAATTACAATCACTAATAAATCACTATACGTTAAGACATATGGTCCAGTCTTTTTGTTAATTAGCACATTTTTGTCATTATACTCGTATAAAGATGGTTACATGTCTTAGGCGATTGTTAAAGAAAACAAGTTTTTCAAAATCCGATCCTAAAATAAGACTCTTAGTGATTTGATAACCCTAAGACCTTGTATTACAATCAACACAATAATAGATTGTGATTGATTGTTTGACTTGACTTGATGATTTGATAACCCTAAACAAAGACCTTGTATGAGCGTCACTACTACAAAAAACCCCTATTGAGTCGCCTGTAAATGACCTAACGAGTCGCCTTAAAGGCGACTCTACAACCACTGACATGATAGCTTCCAACTTTAGGAGTCGCCTCAAAGGCGACTCGATAGCTTTTATATAAGTCGCCTATTAGTTGTTAGGCGACTCTATAGGTTAAGTTATTGTGTCACTTGTGGTTAAGGAGGCGATTCAATAGGTTAATCTATGGTGTCTCTTGTGTTGAAAGAGGCGACACGTAAAAAATCAACATTTTTTTCCAACTACATACTTCTATTAGCTCATATAATGTCAATATTTATGACACTTAGGCCCCGTTCTTTAAAGCTGCTCTGCTTTTCTCAAATCAAATCTGCTCTGCTCTGCTCAAAAGAAATCTGCTCTGCTCTGCTCTGTTATGTACTGCTCTGCTCTATTTTCAAATAATAATTAATAATAACAATAATAATTAATATTGTATTGATGATAATAATTTATTATTTTGAATAATTATTAATATTAACAATAATTTTAATAATTATTAATATTAATAATAATTAATATTTATTATTATTAATAATAATAATTAATAATAATAGTTATCATTATAAATATTTAATAATTCAAACTATTAATAATTAATATTTAATAATATTATTTATTAATAACTAGGTTAGTTCCCGTGCCATGCACGGTAATTTACAGTAACCATTATTAAACTATCATTCTAATTAGTTTTTTATAAACAAAAAAAATCTAAAAATATAGTTGACATATTTTTATCAAAATAAAGGATTACATAAGATATGTTAGATATAAAATGATGAAAATTATGTTAAGAATTTTTAGCTATATAAAAATTTGTGTTAAAGATATGTCAAATCTTTTTTATTTGAAGTAATTATATTATATAAGATTAGTGAATTATTTTTGTTAAGATTTGTTTCTTTAATAGAATTTAATTCAGCAAAAAAAAATTAAAAAATAAAACTAAGGATACACCAGAAGATGACACGTGTCATTGCTGGTGTGTCTTTTAGTATATAGTTATTGATTTCTAATAATTATAACAATTCTTTCAAATAAATAAATAAATAATAATAACAATTAATAACAATTTCTTTTATAAACATTTGATATTAGATTCACAATGTGTAGAAACATTATATGTATGTGGGTATTGATTGTTAGTTCATTGAGTTGAATTATTTTTCAAATCTTTCCATACAATTTAAGAATTAAAAAAAAAAGGTTGTTTTCAAGTAGTACTTTGTATATCATTATTATTTTTATGGTTAAAAATATGTTATTAAAACAAATTTATAAGTAAAATCATTATTACTCATTAAATCATTTTATTTTAAAATTTTGGTGAAATAAATAAAAGTAAACCGTTGTCTTTTATCTTTCTACTATTAACATATGTTAAATATGGTATACGTATATTTATGTTTTCACTCACCTAAATCAATGGTATATGCACTTAGTAATAGTAATAGTAATAATAATAACAACAACATTAATAATAATAATAATAATAATAATAATAATAATAATAATAATAATAATAATGTTAAAATCTGCTCTGCTCGGCTCGGCTCGGCTAAAATTTAATCTGCTCTGTTCTGCTGACCCCTGCTCTGCTCTGCCCTGAAGCTCAAAAGAACAGGGCCTTAGCATGATTGATCTCTGGTTCTTTGCCTGGAAGGTTAAAGTTCTTGCCATTAGGCCAAAATTTACTTTATATGTATATATGATATTGTAACTATTTTTAATATATTATAAGAATCAACCTATCGAGTCGTGTCTTACGTATTAGGCGACTTATTAGGTAGTGGCCATATAATAAAGCACCTAACAAGTCGGACTTTCAGAGTCACCTGTATATAAGGTGCGACTTGTAAACATATCGAGTCGCCTCATACTAATAAGGCGACTTGTTAAGTTGGAGTTAAAATCAACAAAGCATCTAACGAGTCACCTAATATACATGAGGTGAGTTGATAGGTTAAGTCGCATCATATATGCATATGACTCAATAATCTGACTTATTTGGTGGCTTAAATTAGATTTTCAAAGTCACTTGTATATAAGGTGCAACTCATTAACCTATTCAGTTGCTTTATACATATTAGGCGACTCATTAGGTGAGAGTTATAGCTATCAAAACTCACCTATTAAGTCGCCTACTATGTATAAGGCGACTCGACAGGTTTTCGAGTCGCACCTTACATACAGGTGACTTTGAATATCTAATTTAAACCACCAAATAAGTCGGGTTATATAGTCGCATGGATAAATGGAGCGACTTGTTAGCCTATCAAGTCGCCTCATATATACTAGGCAACTCGTTAGGTGCTTTGTTGATTTTACCCCCAACTTAACAAGTCACCTTATAAGTATGAGGCGACTTGATAGGTTTGTAAGTCGCACCTCATGTACAAGTGACTCTAAAAGTCCGACTTATTAGGTGCACCTTATCCGTTACCTATACTAATTTGATACAAAAACGCCCCGTAAAACTTAATGCATGCATAACAATGTTCACCTTTATACGCTATATTTAGGAAAATCATATACATAATAGGTTATGAATGAGCTATAGTTTAATGTTTACTGATAAATACATGTTACCTATTTCTTATAAATGAGATTATCAATTCACAAAAATATCAATTTACACCAATTTTGTATTTTTTAACATTAATTATGCCATTCTTTTTTGTTGTCTTATTTTTAAAAATCTTTATATATATTCCACAACAAATTAAAATACATTAATCCAAAGTACATAAAATATATTATTATGTGTGACATCGTTTAATCTGCCTCATAGTGCAGTTTCACAATATGACCTTAAATAAACGAGTTATAATAACATGTATTTAAAATATTTTTTCATTTATATGCGCATTGAAAACTATGAATAATGTTAATAGAAATAAACATAGGGAGTGCAGACAATGTGCCCTTCAGCATAATAGATTAATAGTTGGTTAAAATGTTTATGGAGCTAATTGAGATCAATTTATCCAAATGCCTAGTTGGCGACCACTTTTGATGCATGAGAACATTATTTAGTTAGTCTCATCACAACTTATGTAATCTTAATTCAACCTATTGAATCACATCTAAAGCACAAATTGATCAATTAAACGGATTAGGCAAATACTTTGTTCAATAATATCATGAGCAAAGCATTGGACGTTGGGCTTAGATGTTCCAAGTAAAATCCCAATGTCAAAATATGAGTCGAGAGATCGTATGGCTTGATGACACACACAGCCACGAACGATGGCTTATAGCCTCGCATCATAGGCTAGATGCCAAGGTAAGGCCTTTGAGAGCAACTCCAATGGTTGTAGCTAGGAACTTGCTTGCAATATTAAATAATTTCTAGCTACTAGCTTTATTATTGGAGTTTGAAAATGCAATTAGCTTGGTCAAGCAAATTAGCTTTGTCAAGCTAATAGCTTGGAAAAAAAACTTGCTAAAATAAAACAAATTAGAATAATAAAATGAAATTTATCAACGTATATGGAGGTGTGGTCCATTTAAACAGTAAGCTATTAGCTAGCCATTGGAGCTAAAATGACAAGTAGCTTAAAAGCTTATGTCACATGGCAAAGCTAATTTGACAATTAGCTTGCCATTAGAGGTGCTCTCATAGGCCCAATCGAGGCAACATCATACCATAGCAATGCCACAGACCTTGTCATAGTGTGCACCAACATTCCACGATAGTAGCCGCACAATCACGATGCGAATGGACATTTAGCAAGGCCCAGGCCGCCCAGCAGTGTTGTTGTGCACACATGAGTGGAATGCATGACTAAGACTATTAACACTATTGCCTAAAATGGTCTCGTGTATGGTTTAAAAAAAGGTCTCGTGTATTGGTTGACTTTCTTAAACGACAAATTTCAGACGTTGACTTGCATTGTCGATTGGTGCTCGTACCAAAAATATTGTTTACTCCAATTTTTAATAAAGGAAAAAAAAGGGTGGAAGAAGTAAATAGATGAGAAGTTGCTTAAATCCTACCAAGGGTCCTTCCTTTGCCTACAAAATAGGATACCAACACCCCTTTACTATTCTTTAATTAGTATTAATAAGAGTCTTATTCTTTTGCCTACTTGAACAATAAATAAATAATACCCTTATTTTATTATTGCCCACCTTACTAATTCTCCTATAAGTTTTGTTACGCAGTGTTGGTAGGTTTAATATTTTATTTATCCAACTAAGAATTGAAGGGAGGATCATAGAGTATAAGATGAAGAGAGTATGTGAATTTGGGAAGGAGGTAGAGTGAAGCAAGAAAAAAGTTTTTTTTTTTTTTTTTTTTTTTTTTTTTTTTTGTGACAAAATAGCTATCAAATAAAAAAAAACAACCAAAAACAACAAATGTCAACCCAAAAAAAAAACTTAAAACAAAAAATACAACAACTGACGCCGCCGGGCACAACCAGCCAACCAGTGAGCAGGAGTATCCCACATACGAGGAACCTTTTGAACCTGACAGACCAAAAGAGACTGAACACAAGCCCACAACTCCTGGATAAGCCACCAAGCAGAAATTTCCATTAAGCCAGAAGGAGGAAGAAGAGTAAGGAGGGCAGCACAATCTGTATAAACCCGGATTTTTAAAAAACCTTTGCGAATAGCATACTCCAAACCCCATATACAAGCTTGAATCTCAGACTGCCACGCTGAACTTGCCATAAAAGCCCGACAACCACCTCCCAGGACCTCAGAAGAATGAAGATCACGGACTATCAAGCCTGCTCCCGCCCTATAAGTAGAGCAATCCCAGTCCCCGTCTACCATCAAACATGCCGTTGGAGAAATATAAGGTAACCCCCGCAGACACAGCCACTTGACATCATGCCTAGCCTCCAAACTAACCGAACGAGAAGACCTCGTAAACCTCTTCCAATCTAGAGCCTGCATATTACGAATAACCCAATCTGACGCCAAACCAACAATTGACCCAGGCGACCAAACAATATTCCTAAACCTCAAGTGATTACGAGAAATCCAAATCGCCCAAAGGAGAGAAAAAAAACGAAGCAATGCCCTTCCAATTTCTTGATGACGAAAAAAGAGAAATTGTACCTGAGAACCAAATACTAAACGAAGGAAACTGCATAAGATCCCATTGGATTCCCAACGCCCTATATAGCCAAAGACTACAGATAGCAGGACAATCTCTGAATGTATGAGACACAGATTTCACATCTGCATGAAAAAATTCACAAACTGGATCATTAGTGAGGCCTCGAGAATTGAGAATAGTCGCTAAAGGAAGGGCGTCGTGCACCAATTTCCAACCAAATATTTTCCAACGAGGAAGAATTGGTAAAGCCCAGAACTTCCTCCACCATGCTTGAGAGATTTGAGATGGACTACCAGACATGACCCTAGGCTCACAAAGAAGAGCATAAGAAGATTTCGTTGTAAAAACTCCATCCCTAGTAAACTTCCAGTAAACAAAATCATCCATTAAACGCACAGGTCGATCCAAAGAAAGAATTCTAGCAGCAGAACTAGAATCAAACAACCCGTGAATAATAGTAGCATACTACGCGCAAGAACGCGAATCAAGTAAAGAAGAAAAAAGAGTCGGTCGAACCGACTCGGACGGAAGATTCTTAAAATGAATTGGTCCCCCCCGGAACCCAAGAATCCTCTAAAATACGAACTTGAGAACCTGAACCAACCTTCCAACACAAACCCTTCGACAACAAGGACATCCCCGAAATAAGACCCCTACAACCCCAGGAGGGACGAGAAGTCGAGAAGGAGTTAGTAGAACAAAGAGTTGGATACTTCGCAGACAGAAGCCGAGAAACCAACAACTGAGGGCAGTGAATAAGTCGCCAACTCTGCTTCGCCAACATGGAAGAGTTAAAAGGGGAAATACTACGAATTCCTAATCCCCCTAAACCCTTCGGAAGATGGAGCAACAACGAAGACCGAAGAGCCAATCCTCGATTAGAAGAAGAAGATTTCCACCAGAACCTGGCTAACAAATTATCCATTCTGGAACATATAGATTCAGGAATTTTGGAAACAGACAGGATGTGATTAAAGGAGGCAATGAGCACTGAGTTAATAATAACAAGCTTAGCCGCCGGCGAAAGCCGGAGAGCTGTAAAGTCCTGTAGACGTTTAGCCACCTTATCCAAGAGGAAACCAAACTCAGAGCATTTACTACGACCTAAATCAACAGGAAGCCCCAAATATGAACCCAATCTAGATTCAGATCGCATCTTCAAACAACCAGACATATAAGATCGGTAATCCTCAGGAGTATTAGGACTAAACTTGACAAATGACTTTTGCAAATTAAGCATTTGACCCGAAATATCACAAAAAGCAGAAAGCACATTCAACACTTCTTCACAAGCTGGAGGAGAAACCTGGAAAAATAGCAAAGAGTCATCTGCAATGAACTTGTGAAATGGTAGGAGCCCCCCAAGCAATTTTAATACCCTGAAAAAGATCTTTCGATTCTGCCTTACGCAACATAGCCGAAAGAACCTCCATGCACAAAACAAACAAGTATGGAAATAGCGGATCTCCTTGACGTAGACCACGCTGAGGACGAAAAACCTCTGTAGGTGACCCATTAACCAATACCTGGTATGACACTGTAGATACACACTGCATAATCAGTTGAATCCAGTAGGGAGGAAACCCAAAAACCTAAAGAACCCTACACAGAAAGTCCCACTCAACTCTGTCATAAGCTTTATTCATGTCTAGCTTTAGGGCCGCATAAAAACGTTTCCTGGCTTTGGAAGCATTCATAAATGAAAGAATCTCGTGCACCATCAGGCAATTATCAGATATTAACCTGCCCGGAACAAAGGCATTATGAAAATCTAAAACTATATCTGGAAGTATCCAACGTAGACGACGAGCAAGACACTTAGATATGCATTTATAAAGAACATTACAGAGTCCTATCGATCTAAATTGAGAAACAAGTTCAGGGTGATCTACCTTAGGAAGCAAAACTAAGAATGTTCGATTCCAATCCTTAAGCAAATAACCATGAGCAAAAAAGAGCTGGACAACATTCACCACCTGATCACCCACCTCACTCCAATAGGTCTTAAAAAAGGCTGAAGTATAACCATCAGGACCTGGAGACTTATCATCAGCAATACTAAACATCGCCTGCTTAATATCATCAGCTGAAAAGGGGGTTAGCATGGACTGACGATGCCTATCAAACAAAGAAGGGAGCTGAAGGGAATCCCAAGGGAATTCAGCAGAAGGTCGATCCAAATTCCTACTGTATAAGGACTTGTAAAAACTGAGAACCAAAGAACGAATATCCCCCGTATCCGAAACCCAGGAACCTTCATTGTCCTTAAGCCCCATAATAGTGTTCTTCCGACGTCGGGCCTGAACTGCAGAAAAACCAACTTAGAATGCTCATCACCAAACGTATCCCACTTCACTTTTGCTCGTTGTCTCCAAAAAAGAAATGCCGCTTCAGCCTCCTTTATTCTTTCCTTCCTAAACGTACTAAACAAACAACGACTATTCCGTGAATCAAGATTAAAAAAAGCATTAGTGACATCGGCAACCAAAGCTTTCCAATCAATGCCCCACGCCTTTTTATGAGAAACACACCAAGCTAGTAGACGATGACGAAGAACACAAAGTCTTTTTGATAAGGAAAACATAAGAGACCCAGGGATATGTTCAACAAAAGTAGTTTGAACCATATTAGCAACATCCTCAGAGTGTAGGCACCAGTTTTCAATTCTATAAGGACGTTTGTATCTATCAGAAGGCAAAGAGTCACTTAAAATAATTGCCGCATGATCAGAAAACAAAATGGGCTGATGATGAACAGAGGTAGCCAGCCAATCCTGAAGCCAATGGGAAGTAGCATATGCCTTATCTAATCTCTCAAAAGTGGGGTCCATAACTGTTCTCCCATTAGTCCAAGTAAAAGATGGTCTAGAAAACGGAATATCAAGTAACCCATTATCCAATTTCCACTGTATAAAATCATGACGGCCAGGAATATCCAGATTACCTTCGGCCTTATCTGATAAATATTCAACCTGATTAAAATCGCCAACTAACACAATATTCTGGTAAGAGGCTAAAATATCAGAAATTTTCGACCACACAGTCATACGATCAGAAACTTGAGGTGCACCATACAGAAAAAGGACATATTTTATAACCAAGTTCTCCACAACTCGACACAATATTATATGCGAAAAAACCAAGAGAGGGTCAATCAAAACTGGGGCAAACCACAACACACAAATCCCACCACTAAGACCCACCGAATCCATACCTACAAAACCTGAACATGACAAGGAAGATAATTTATGCATTACAGAATTTACAGACACCATAGTTTCAGCTAAGAAAATAACATCTACACCACAAGAGCGGACTAAAGACGCAATGTAAGGAACTTTAGGGGAGTCCGCCTGACCCAAACCCCTACAGTTCCACGCCATAATCTTCATCTATCACCTGGTGGCCTTGACCGGGCGGCCACCGAACCCTCAGAAAAAGAACCAGAATGAGACACCTGTTGTGAAAAAGAAGTACCAATTCCTTTACGCTTCTTAAACGGGAGGCAAGATAAACTACTAGTAGCAACAATCTCCGAACCTTTTTTCCGAAAACTGTACAGAAAATCCATAAAGGATCTTGAAGCCGATCCCTTCTTATAACACACTGAATCCACCCTCTGTATCGGCAAAGAGCATCGTGCTGCCTTTTTCATTGAAACTGACAAAGTACAAGCGGGTAGAATCTCTTTTTGAACCTCGAGGGTCGAGGAGAGTGAGAAGGTTGGGTAGTAGTATTGGTGGGTGATGGTACGGTTGATAAGAGTCATAGCAAAGTTTGTTTTTTCCTGGATCGTGTAAGCGATGCTTGTGGGTTGAGAGATTAGGTTGGTTTGGTGTTTGGCATGATTCATTTGGAGTGAGGTCAATGTGTGTTGTTGTTTCTGATTGTGATTTCCTTTTTTTCACAGGTGAGAGAGATAGAGTAGTAAACTCACGAGGTCTTTTGAGGGGTTGACTACTCTGGGGTTGGGGTGGGTAAATGTTTTTAAAAAGTTCTTAAGATTGACTATAGTTCTATTTTTTTCAATTCTTCTCAGGCCAATATTTGAATTAGAGAGATTATGGGAATGTAAAATAGCAGGCTTAAATGACCCATTCTTATCAACAACAAAAGGAGCAGGGCTATAATGATTCAAAGGGCAAGAATTCTTCTTATGGCCAACTCTATTACAGTTAGAGCACAAAATAAACATATTCTTGTTGTTTTAAAGAATACTACAAGAAGGGGGGGTGAATTGTAGTATGAGAGTTTAGCCAAACTTTTTGCGGAATTAAGATTAAGTTAGCTAAAGGAACTAAAAGATTAACTAAAGGAACTAAAGAATGCAAGAGACATTTTTACGTGGAAAACTCCTTGGTCCTAACAAGGAGAAAAACCACGACCACTTGGGATTTTGGGAAAAGAATCTTCACTATAATAGGGCAAATGGTCCTATTACAAACTAAAGACTCAAACTCAAATTCCTCTACGAACTTGAAACCCCGAGGAACAAGTCACCCAACTTGTTACTCTTCTCTTCTCTTTCTCTCTTCTCACTTCTCTGTTCTCTCTTCTCTTCCTCTTCTCTTTCTCTTCTCTTTCACTTCTCTTTCTCATACACAAGAGTTCACTCGAACTTCCCCATTCCCCAAATTACAACTCGAAAGATAAACAAACTCTAGTATAAGAACATTAAGAACACTCTAATTAACTTGTGTGGAATTTGACTCTTAACTCGATTAAAGCTTGAAAACTTATGTGAGCAAGGGTGAGATTTTCGATCTGAAATCAATAGCTATTTATAGGTTGCAAAATGTCTTGGAAAATCATCTTTGTGCAGCAACACCATTACGCCACTACTCATACCCACTAAGAAGATCATGTTCCTTAAATTAAGGAACCATGAACTCCTCAATGTGCAACACCATGACTGAAGAAGAACATGGGAGAGTAGGCCGCAAGTTTTGGAAAACATGGTGATTTTATTTTTTTTCAAAAGATATTTTCGAAAATAAGAAAAATAAATAGAATTCTTTTGCATAAGATATTTTCGAAAATCAGAATAAAATAAAATCCCTTTCAGAAGGATAAACGTTTTAGAAAGCAACAGTTTTCTTAAAAACTAGCATGCACATATTTTATCTTTTAGACCAATTCCACACAGATTTTTCGAGTGCAAATTAATATCTTATACTTACATAAATCCTAGAATATAAAATATATTTTAGTCTTCATGTCTTTGATGAAGCTTCTACTCCGAGGCATCCTGTTCCTTCCTGTTCCTTGGAAGGAACTTCTCTTCTCTGATGAGGCTTCTTCTCTGAAGCTTATGTTCCCTGAGGGGAACCTTCTCTTCTCAAGTCTTCATTTCTGAAGCACCAGTTCCTGCAAAGGAACTCTTCTTTATGGATAGCTCTGCTTCTGGCCTTCTTGTTCCTCATGGTATTTTTACAAGACACTTAATTCTCCTGGTATTTGCAACTGAGTACACACTTAAACAATCAAGCACTTATTAGTTTGTAAGTAAGTGAGGTTGGGTCATCATCAAAATCATTAAGTCCAACAATTCTCATATTTGAAATTAATCCATTTAAACCCAGAATGTCCAAGGTCCAAGTAAAAGCCAGAAAATAATGGTTCCAAAACATGAAAGTGAAGTTTTACTCTAACCACGCATCTAATTGATCCAGAATCAGGTTCATCGGAACACAAAATCTTTCCAGCCATAGTAATTATTGGATTAACGACATTAATCTCACATAAGTTCAAAGGAACTTCATCAAGATGAACCCAAATAACAACCTCGTCAAATTTTACATCTCTGATTGACTTACCCTGAGTCCACGGAGTAAAGACCAAGAGAGCCGCTTGGTACCCCGCGGAACCTTGTTGTAGCATAGCTTCTCAATCACGAACGTCCTCACAAAGAAACAAGAAAATACTATTGAATTTCTGGACTTTAATTTCCCCAAAGGTAATCCACTGGCTGGAAACCCACTTTTGGATTCGAGTCTCGGAGAAATTTCTGTAGTTTATGAACTTGCCCAGTACAAGATGATTGCGGAAACAAGGATTATAGCTAGTTGATGAGCGTCGCCGGCTCGAAAGAGCGAATTTATTAACTGCCATCTTAAACGAAGCAGGGGAAAATGAAAAAGGGGTTATGATTTTGAAGGAGGATCACCGAAAAGAACATGGAATTGAAGAACTAAAGTTGTTTTTTGTGAACTTTAATCTGATCCTAGCTTTTGTAATTAAAATTTGAGGTTTGTAAAGTCATGGAAGAGTTGAAAAACAGTGGAAGACGGTGGAAGGCGGTGGAAAAAGTTGGGGTTTTGGGGATGAGGCTCTAGTACTCTAGAGAGAGAAGCTCTCTTTTTAGAGAGAGAATTAAGAAAAAAGTTATCCAAAGATAAAAATTGAACTTATACTTTAATTGAAACTTGCATTGGAAATTAATGGAGAATTACTAGAAGAAAGGGTGGAAATCGAATTTATAAAGGTCACATGACTAGAACGGGTGGGTCAATGCTAAGCTAGAATGTATGGTAAGATTGTTTTCGCAAAATTATTTTTGTTTAAAGTATGTAGTTGATAGGATCTTTGAGAAGGTAATTTCTTACAAAGTGTTATTTATAGGAAATTTTTAAAAAATCACCTTTTAATTATAAGCAAATTTTTGTAATAAACCATCTTATAGTTTTTTTTTTTTTTGCAATGACACGCCTTAATCAATTTTTTTTTTTTTTTTTTTTTGCAAATCAATACCTTTATGTCGAAAAATGAGGTTTGACCCCATTTTCCGGCGTTGACTACCCCAATCTACCCACGAAACCATTTCTCTTCCCACCACCCCCCCACGAAACCACCTCTCTCCCCAGCCCCACCCACAAAACCACCCTTTCATGGCATTGACCACCATAAACGCCTCCTCTTACGACGTTGACCACCCTAAACACACCACTTTAATGACGTTGACCACCCTCCTCTATAGCCCTAGCCACCCTTCTCCCCTCCACTGTCAGTTTTATGGGTGCGGATGGCGTAGTCAACGCCGGAAAATAGGGTTTGACTCTATTTTCCAACATAAAGGTATGGTTTTGCAAAAAAAAAAATTTGATAAAGGTGTGTCTTTGCCAAAAAAAAAATTATAAGGTGGTTTCTTGCAAACAAAATGCTTATAAAAGGTAGTTTTTTTTGCAAAATTTCCTTATTTATATTATCCGATTCTGCTACTGATGTTGATAGCATTGTGACATGTGTCATCTTAGGTTCGCTTTTAGTATACGTTAATAGATAGATAGATTAGATAGATAGATATATGGTTAGAATATAACAAAAATGCAGCCTCGCCAAATGAGCAAACATAGGAAAAATTATGTTTACAATAGGATCTACAACATTATAACTCATTTATGAGCCAATTATGTTAATCAATCTTAGGATCTACAATTATGTTGGTATAGGTTATCATTTTATCATAATTTTATCATAGATAGATATATTTGGGTTTAGTATAGGATAATAGATAGATATATGGCTGTGATAAAATTATGATAAAATGATAACCCAACATGCATTTTTTTTTTTTTTTTTTGAAACAATAACCCAACATGTTGGTCCATTTCTTTTTGGGTTTCTTAACAGCTTTTAGTTGGAAATAGAGGCACACTACGCGACAGATTATGGACCGTACAAAATGCTTGACTCGGTACGATTATTACATACTCCGAATTTATATACGGAGTATTTATTATTTTACATATTTACCGGTTGTATGATACAAGTAAAATCATATTGTATGAAACGTCAAGTGTCATGTAGGTAACAATTAAACGTTAATATGACACACAAGATTTTTTTGGTTTCTTAACAGCTTTTAGATGGAAATAGAGGCACACTACGCGACAGATTATGGACCTGACAAAATGCTTGACTCCATACGATTATTACATACTCCGAATTTATATATTTATTATTTTACACATATACAGGATGTATGATATATGTAAAATCATATTGTATGAAACGTCAAGTGTAGCGTTAAGTAGGTGATAATTAAACGTTAGTATGACATATAAGATTTTTGTAAATATATTTTTTATTTATTAGGATAAAAAAAATTAGTTTAGAGTTTTATTTCCAATAAAATTTAGATAGATTTATATGATAAAATTATTTGTTTAGAGTTTTAAGGCATGTTTTAGTTCAGTTCAGTTTAGCTCCAATCAGTTCAGTTCAATTCAACTGCTAACTTCCTTCTCTCATAAAATATTCATTTTAGCTCAGTTCAGTTCAGTTCCAATCATTTTAGTTTAGCTCAGTTCAGTAAATGTGAACATGCCCTTATTTCCGATAAAATATTAATATTTATCAGTACAAAATAAATTATAAATTTAGCAACAGCAACACTACGTTTAACACGGGCATCGCACGTATCGGAGCACCAAACTAGTATATTCTTTATTTCTATTCACTTAAAACACATTTTCTCATTTATATGTGGCTGTCCTTATATACTTGTAACACTTTTCTTTTTATTTTATATAGAGCCAATTATAATAATCAATTCTAGGATCCCCTGAAACCGAAAGAAAGACTCTTATCAACTAAGATATCCCTCCTTCCCAATGAAACCATATCATGAGTATTATAAATACCAGTAGATGGAATGCGAGTTTATTAGTACAAAGAGGGGAAAAAAAATATTACCATGAAAATAATCTCTAAGCAAATAGTGAAACCGGCTGAAGAAACATGGAGAGGCATTATGCCTCTATCAGTACTTGATCAAATAGCAGAAGTTACTAGTTCATCACATATATATTTCTATAATAAACCAATCCAAGAAAAATGGGTAAATCCATCAAACAACAAAATAATTGACACCCTTAAAGAGTCCTTAAGCCGTGTGTTAGTCCCATTTTACCCTTTAGCCGGGCGGTTGAGTTGGGTCGGGGGAGGAAGACTCAAGCTTGAGTGTAATGGCATGGGCGCGGAGTTCATTGAGGTTGAGTCTAGTGAGAAAATCGCCGACTTAGGCGATTTATATTCTTGTAGTGAAAAATTCCGATATCTACAACCTCATTTAGATTACTATAAAAAACCAATACAAGAACTCCCCGTACTTGCGGTACAAGTCACTAGGTTTGCTTGTGGCGGGCTTAGTGTAGGGATATGCATGTCCCACGTAGTTGTAGACGGGAAGAGTGCATTTTATTTCACCGAGGAATGGGCTAGGCTTGCTCGAGGCGAGCCACTAGAGAAGCAACCTTTGCTAGACCGTCGAGTCCTACAAGCTGAAAATGTGGATGATGAGTGCACAACAAAAGCACAAGTTTTACAAGGCCAAAACTTGAGCATTTTTAGTCAGCTTTGTGTAAACGAAAAGGGTGATAACACTAATTATAACAAGGTTGACACTTATAAAAATGTTACTCCTACTTTATTATTTTTAACAAAGGATGAAATTGAACGGCTCAAAAAGGTTGCTACTAATAAGAAAATCATAGAAAATGGAAATAATAAGCGTCCATATAGTCGATTTGAAGTTATTAGCTCTCATGTTTGGAGATGTGTGACCAAGGCGCGGGAGCTCGACGATGAGGACATTACTACCTTAGTAGTTTCCGTTGATACGCGACCTCGTTTGGATCCGCCATTACCATCAAGGTACGCACATTTGGTATCCTCTTCTTTTTAATTTATTAAGGAAAATTTAATACTTCTTTTGTTTCATAAATGATTAGTCGTTTAAAATATGACTTTTCTAATGTTTTAATGATTATGTAGTTTATATATAATTGACTTTTTTTTTTTTGAAACCATATAATTAACTTGTTTTTCTCCAAGTAATTAATTATACTTAGTATTATTTTATTTTTTATATGAAATATTATTATCAATATTTTTTTGATCTATAATTTTTTTAAAAGCGATTTATCAAATTTTTAGTTTCATTTATGTAATTTTTATTGTTATTTTATAGTTTTTTGAAAAATAATTATTTTATCTGGATTAAAATTTTCAAAAATTATATTTGCATTGTAGATCTATAAGACTAATTGTGATCCTTTTATAACGTGAAAAAATAAAATGATCATATTATATATCATTAAAATAATATAGTCAAATGACCGCTGTAAAAACATGACACCTTAGGTCAGGTCTTGTCTATTGGACGGATGCAATTTATTTTTACATATTAGCTATAATTATAAATTTTTAATCTTGATTATGAAATACAGTTACTTCGGAAATGGTGTGATTCACGTAGAGGTAACAAGTACCGTGAAGGACCTAATTTCGGAACCTCTAAGCTTATGCTTGTGATAAGATAAGGGAAGAAACGAGCAAGGTGAATAACGAGTATGTGATGGATTACATAAAGTTCTTCAAGAATCAAGAGAGTTTAACCAAGTATCAATTCATGGATGATCTAGGAAAAGTTGAATGTCTTTCGATACTTGATAACGACCAAACTGTAGGGGTTGTGAGTTGGTTGAATCTTGGAGGTTTTGGCATCGACTTTGGATGGGGAAAGGAGTTTCATATGGGGCCTCCTTTAGTTTATGCAAGCGATGGTGATGTTCTTATTACTCAAAAAGACGATGGAACTGTGGTTGTTAGAGTGTGCGTGCAATCTAATTTAAAATTTCAAGAATACATTAGTATTATGTGAGCCGATATGTTTAATGATTTCGTTAAGTTATTAGTTACAACTGCAACTTTAGGTATTATTTGTGAAATATAAAATATTTTAAAATTATAACTAATGCTTAACAGATGCAGTATTATGTTTTTGTTTTCTGGATTTTGCTTAGATGAATAAGTTCTTTCATAGTTTCCTTGTGAGAGATTTGTATCTTGTATCGATAATATTTGTATTGTGTTTGTTTTCCATCTAAGAGTTATTTTTTGCTTCCTTTGTAATTTTTTTTTTTTTATTTTACAGATTTGCCTTTTGTTTTTTCATAATGGTACAAGCGTGAATCTGTCGTTTATAATCTCTTTTGTTTTATGAGTATGGCTAATTTAGTATCTACGGCACCGAGTATAATACATATTTATTCCAAAAATATATATATAATATGAAATTTTTAGTAGAATTTGATAATTAAATCTTACTTTATTTATACAGTTTTAAAAGACGAAAAAATTATTCAAAAATTTATCAATATAATAAATTTGAAGCAAAGTTTGTTTAAAAATTAAAAAACTAAAGTAATCAAAATATATGTCAAAGTACTCAATATCAATAGGAATACAGTGTGTATTGCGTGTTCGGTACGATGATCATAGAAATTAGAAATACCAATCCATCAATATGTACTTGCTTTGTAATGACACAGTGGCTAAGACTTTCCAGGGCTTAGCTAATAAAAAAATCTCTTACAAGTACTGTGTGCCTACAACAGTATTATAGTACTCTATGGCTTAATTTAGGACCTGTACTGTTTTCAGCTCAGCTCATCTTAATAAATCAGAGTAGGCTCTTAATCAGTTGTATTTATAGTCAAGACTGAATTTTTTTTATTTATTGCCCCTACATTAGCTAGCACTATCATTGAATTTTGAATGTTTTATTTATTTATTTTTTATTTCACGGGATGTGTTTCATAAAGGGAGGACCAATTATTTTCGTTCAAACAAGAGGGAGCAGGATCAGTTATTAGAAAGGAAAAAAAACACACACACACACATTTTGGCAGTGGCGGAGCCAGGATTTTGAATTCGGGGGGGCAAATTTCAATTGTTTATAATTCGACAAAAATTTTAAGACAAAAATTGCTCGCATGATTTGTTTATTACCGAGTATATATTTGAATCGCATTTGACAACTATTCCTACATGCATAACAAAAGAAGAGTTGATATGAGTTTCATTGCATATCAAGAAAATTACCCAACAAAAGGAATAGATGTTTGTTTGTAAACCCCAATTCTAGGTTATGTAATCCAATAATTGATAAGTATGAATCAATTACCCTATCATAAAATCAAATAATAATTGTTTTTTGAAC